GCCTGCAGGAGACAAGAAATGGTTAAATATTACAAAGGTATTCACAAATCCAACTGGATTCTTAATGGGTTTTTAAGTAAACCTAACATGTGGCTGAATTACGTATTATATTAAAAAAAGTTTAGATAAAAGTGGATAAGCAGCTCTTTATGTGAGTGAAGGAATACTGTCTATATCTATATATGAATTTATTTTATTTTTCTGTGTTGCATTTTAAACATTGCCTCTGTCAGCTGCACATAGAGATCAGTGTTATTCAGATCGCTGGAGAACTCATTTCCTACTAAACCAAGCGATTTGTTCCTTTCCTTCTTTTTCATCTGGAGTTTTAGCTGAAATATGAGGGAAACCCCATTCCACAATTCCCAGAATGCACCACAGCAGCACACAGTACAGCCCTTAAATTCATTGTGGTACTTTAGGTGTAATTTATCCCTAAAGTTCTCATTAAATGATGAAAAAGACATAATTTTGTATTATTTACTATGTTTAATGTATTTATTTTTTTTAACCGAAAATCTTGAAACAAATTCTAGTTTCAGAAACTGTAAATTATTTCACGATTTTAGGTCACAGTGCACTGGATGTCTTGTTGTAAAAGTAAAAAAAAAACATTTTTGAGCTTTAATTTTCCAAACAGAAACTCCAAAAGACCCTCAAAAAAGGAAAAGACCACAATAATCTAACAGTCTGGAGATAAAATTACCTCTTTGTGGGGATTTTAATCTTTCTCCTGAGTACCATTGTAGGATTTTTGGTTAATAATCTCCTTTTTTTTGCCATTCTTCTCACTGTCTGTGTTCCTCAACATATGCCTCTGACAGCAAGCTGCTCTCTTTCAGAGCCACTTACATTACAGCCTGTTGAATCTGCAGAAAAAGACCCCTTTCATTCTATTTCTCTGTCTCATTCTGTGTCTCTTTTATCTACACATATGCACACGCATGCATGGTGCACACTCAGCAGGCTGCCAAAGCCCAGCGGAGCAAGTTGAGTTATGGTGTTTTAATAGTGTGCACGCAGGCAGCCGGGGAGAGAAAAAACACTCACCACATGGACAAATTGATTCTGCTCAGTATCTGACAGCTGGTGGAACTTATATGGACTGATGTCAATGAGCGATGAGACGTGGCCATGGTACGCACTGCAAACAAAGAAAACTGTGGGCCAAAGCAGTAAATTCTATTAAAACACTGACACATGAAGACCCAGCTCCTTTCGCCACACGGCGCTACAAACCACTAACTAGTAAGACTTTTACCAGCTCATTATCACTGTTGTTTTCATTCGCCAGGTTTTTTTCTGTAGAATGACTGGTTGACGGCAGCACTTACTTTTCCAAAGTGATGATATCTCTGTGGCCTGTGTATTGCCGTGCTAGTCGGAGAGCCAGGTCGTTGGCTTCGGAGCTGAAGTTCAAACAGGCAAGGGTTACTTTGAGTTACTCAGTCACCACAAAATACACAGGTGAAACCGCTGATATCACTTGAACGTCAGAGGGAGTTTGCTGTTTCAGTTCCCACCGTGAGGCCATGCAAGGCTAATTGTAAAAACTTAGTGGGGCTTCTTTACCTCTCTATGAAATCACATGAAGACATTTTTACTAATTCAAGGGTCTTTGCCCCACTTGTCTGTTATTTTAAAGGCTTGGTGCCTCTGGTTTTATTAAACTTTTTGTTGCTAATGCACAACCAAGTCCTGCAGTGGTACTTCTGAGTAAAAAAAAATCATAAAATATGTATGTGGGGTAATCAGGTTAGTTTTTAACTGTTGCAAATCTGCAACGCCTGCCTTGAGAGGGTTAAAGAGCTCTCCACTCCTTACTAAGGAAGACAAACCATTAATTCAGAAATGTCTTCAGTGGACACAGGTGTACTTTTGTACTACTGCACACACCTTAATAAGGCCTGTGTTATGCCAGATTTATATCAGGTAAGCTTTCTCGAAGCATTTATATCCCCATCGTAGTGATAAATACTGTCTGAGGGTATATGGATTACTATCTACAATGTTATTGCCCCGGAGCAGATAATTCTTCTCCTGAACTGGGCAAAGGGTGTAAATAGGGCACCCGGAACCTTTTTATTTTCTCGACTTTCAGTCAGCTGTTATGCAGACTAACAATAGTCTGCTTAATGTAGCGTACACATCAGAAATCTAGACAAACAGCAGGTTATGAAACCGTGCAATCTGATCCTCAGCATTTGGGGTATTCCTCCACTCATACAGGCGTCTATATTCCTTGAATGCTGACAGGACTGTATGATTGCACTGCAGTCTTTTTTACAGGGTTTTGAGCTTCTCTGTAATTTGAGGACACAGCAGGACTTTTATGGTTAATGTTCACACCAGGCATAATCATCAAAGTAAATTTAGGTCTCCCATCATCTGCCTCCTCAATCCTCCACACAGTGATCCACACCCAAGTAAAAAAACACACCTGGCTTATCTTCCATCATGCTGCCTTTTGTTGTTTAGTGAAAACATGTAAACGTACCCGGAGTTGACAAAGTAGCAAACAGCCAGCTTGTCAGGCAGCGTGGCCTGCAGCCTCTGGGCATACAGGACAAGGTTGTCGTGCAGGAAGCGCGAGTTAGTGTTGAGTAGTTCCATTTGCTGAGCTCCTGCCTTCACCACATCAGGATGACAGTGGCCCACTGAGAAAAGGAAGATTGAATTAGAGTTCCTGGTTATAGGTCTATATGTAATAATAAACTTCTTGTTTTGCTGTTGTGGTGTGACACCATCACAGGGATAAAAAGTGGTACTTCAGCGCTGGCTGCTTTCTTTCAGTGTACTTTGTGTATATACACCAGTGCATGTGTGTTTACCATGAGCCACATTGTTGATGCAGTCCAGGTAGCGCTGTCCTTTCTCATCATACATATACTGGCCTTTGGCTCGCACAATCTTGATTGGGTCATGGCTGAAAAAAATCTTACAAGATGGCCTGCAGCAGAGAAAAAACAGAATATTGACATGTGTAGAAAGCGTGCTGGGGCAGCTGTAGGTTTTCATGTTGTGATAAAAAGATTATGAGTCATGGACACAACAGTGAAATTCCTAAGAGACACACAAAGGAACTACTACTCATTCCAGTTATTGTATATTGTATTATATTAATGTATGTAATATACATATTAAAAGTCAAATAGTAGGATACATTTAAACACCCACAAATATATACAATAGCTAAAATGTCACAGATATTCTCGAAATTAAACTTTTAAATTGTTTTTCTAGTATCTGACACTTTTTGACCACTGCCACATTAATTTGGAATCCTGCTTTTGTAAAATGAGAGCAATTATCTCACCCAATATATTTTTTCCTCAGGTCTATAGTCTCCTTTTTCTCAAATCTCTCAGCGGACATCTTGATGTAGTCCAGCTGGACGAAGCTCGACGAACATCTGCTCGAGCCGACAGAGCCCCGCTTTATACACGCGCGCGCGCAAGTGCACTACTGTACCGCAGCTGGCGCGGCGCTCGCGCTGCAGAGCTGTATGGAAACTGAAAGTGGTCAAAAATGCTCAAACTTCGCAAGCTAGCCTACACTTTCACGGGTAAAAGTTTCAAGCATTAAACACACACAATCTGTAAACAACATACCGTTTTGAAAGCCGCCGCTGAGCTCAGGCTGAACCGTTTCTGCAAAGACCAGGATGAAAACAACACACCTGTTTTTACTTCTTTTGAATTGAGAAATAATACCTTCAAATACATGGATAAAAAAATACTCATGGACAATTCTGAACGTGCATACATAAAATAATATAGACAAACTAATTTTTTTAAAAGGTCCTATTTGAATAATGCAAATCCTGTCACTAGAGGTAAGGTGTCAGTTTCAGTATGAGAATGAGTCAAATGTTTAATTTATTTAAACAATTGAATCATTGAATAAATCACTGGTTAAAAACATGTTGTGCATGTGTACCTGTATAAACTTACTGAGGGAACTAAATGATAATGTTGTAAATTCGGACATGCACAATATAGCAGTCAGCACTGTTCAGCTTGTTTGTAACATTCAGGTAGGACACCAGTAAATTGTTTATTTGCTTGGAACAAGACTGCAAAATGACCACACATGTAACCTTAATGTTCATCCACTTCAATTAAACTTTTATGCAGTTGCTCTATGTGGATCCATGGTTCATGTTGTTTACACCAAATTCTGGCCCAACTATCCCAATGTCATCAAAGAAATCAAGACTCATCTGACCAAGTGATGTTTTTCCAGTGTTCTGTTGTTCAATATTGGTGAGCTTGTATGAATTGTAGCCTCAGTTTCCTTTTTGTAGCTAAAAGGACTTACACAAGATGTGGTCTTCTGCTGCTGCACCCCATCTGCTTCAAGATTTGACAGGTTGTGCATTCAGAGATGCTCTTCTGCAAACATCAGTTGTAACCACTGATTATTTGAGTTACTGTTGCCTGTTGTTCTCCTCTGACATCTGGCATCAACGAGTCATTTTCACCCAGAGAACTTCCACCACTGATATTTAAACCATTTTCTGTAAACCCTAGTGATGGTTGTGTGGGAAATCCCAGAAGATCAGCAAATACCTAGACAGCCTTTCTCGTACCAACAACCATGCCACTTAAAAAACACCTTTCTTCCCTTTTCATTTGAATCTTGACCATGTCTACTTAATATATCTTGTAGTTTGTCGTTGTTAGCGAAGGTAGAATAGCTACTGACATAGACATGCATGTTAGGTTAATAGGTGATTCTAAAGTGGCCGTGGATGTAAATTTGACTGTGAATGACTGTCACTCTGTATTAATCATGTGACAGACTGGCAATATGTCCGGGATCTACACCATGTCTTGTACTATATGACTATATACATAGTACAAGACATATGTGGATATATATGGGATAACCTACAGCCCCCTGCAACCCTGAACTGGTCAACCAGTAAAGAAAAAAAAGGATGAAAATGTTTAACAGGTAACTGGAAACAACAAATAAAGGGAAAGTCCGCCATTTAGTGTATTTGAAAGACTGTGTTTATTTGGCTCCAACAGTACAGTCATATGTAAAGTCAACTTGAAATATAGTGAATGAACACAAGGCTCTTCAAAGAAATCTCAACCAAGTGGGCAAAAAAACACAAGAAATACCAATGCAGAGCAGAAACTGAACATTTACCACAACCCCCCAAATTATAATCGTAACTCCAATAAGTCACAGAATGAAGTTTTCTTAAAATTTTTGCTACAGTCTGCATTTATGTGGCAACAGAATTATGTCAGCAAGGCTGCTGTGCATTGGAGCATCAACACACCCTCATGAGAAACCAGCGTCTTTCACAACATCAAGGAGGAAGAGCACTGTGGCTGCTCCCCCATTCTCCTCCTCCTACTCACTCATGTTGCAATGACTGACATGAGGCATTTCTGCGACAACACAAGAATACAGATTCTTAAAACTTGATGCTGATTCATTAAGGAGCTTCTCGCCAGGTCTGTGAACACCCATACGGGAACAAACTGTTTGGCACTGCTGCTGATAGCAGGGGGAAAAAAACACCTTTAACTCCAACAAATAAACACAAAACTCAAACAAAATCAATCAAATAGAAAAGTCTATTTAAAAAAATTAGCTGCACATGCTAAGAATACAGCACCTTGTGAGAACAAATACTGTAACAAAGGTTGGAAATGAAAACATAGAATAAAAACATAGTAAATACGACACAGTGGAAGTAACACTTTAAAAACATAAGTGAAGGGGCAACTTTAAGCAAAAAAGTATCTAATTTGAGGGTCTGTGTTTACATATGTTTCATTGTCTTCTGGTGAATAAAGTTTTTTTGTTTTTTTTAAATGTCCCCAGGTAGTGGTATAAAGGGTAGCATGACTGAACAAATGTAGCTACAGAAATCACTTTAATGCGATAATTCAGCTGCATTTGACGTTACACACATTAACTAAAGTATAAATTGCACTTTATGCCAAATGAGCACACACAGTACATTAATAATCCACTATACATATATCAAACTACATTCAATGCAAAGAGAAAGCGTGAGAGAGAAAAAGGCGGTCATGTTCAGCTGTGTACTGTTACATTGGCTGTGCCCGTCAACATTCAGGCCTTCAGTACTAGCTTTTTCTGACACACAAAATTAATAAAAGCGGATGTATGTCATGGTAAGGCCTATAAGTTGAAGTAAATGCACAGTGACTACACACCGATCTGTGACGCCCCACTACAGAGCTCCTTCGCAGCTTCGCGATGCCTCAGCGTGACCCGAAACTCTTCGTATGAACGGCGGAAACCCACGTCAGAACCGAAAGGAATGCTGTTCAGAACCAAAATGCCTTCATTTAAGAAATCATAGAAAAATAAATAATGTACCACTTAAAATACTGAGACAAAAATACACAAATATATGCACAAAAAACCCCTTGAAATTGTTACACACATAAAACTCCAACAATAAAGAAACTGCTCGTGTAAGTTCTCGCCACTGTTAGAGCGCATCAACTGCTGTTGACCTGCTTATCAGGTAGCACCGTAAGAACCTACACTGATGTGCATCCATTCTTTTAAAATGGTGAGATGAGCTGTACGTCACACAGAAACCACGTGGGTGGAAATCCTTTCGGATCCACTGGCGGCTGCTGCTGCATCACGACAGGTTTGTTTTACTTTGTTTCACATCGGCTCTGACAGCAAACGATTCTAATGTTGAAGAAAACCCTACACAGCACCTACTATGTCAAAAGGCAAGATAAAGATAGGGAACGTGAAAGGATGTATAAGCCATGGTGAAAAATAAACCTACTGCTCCATTCACTTTTTTTGATTTGCTCCATCTGATGAGGAATGTGATGTTAACCGGCCACCAGTTAGACCGCGGTGAACTAATGGAAGGAGACCAGTTTGCGGTAAATGCCAAATTTAGCTTTTCTTGCATTGTAACACTTTTTCAACATATTTAAGACAATGTGAGGTGGAAGAGAGCAGTGTGGCGGGCTAGATTCAACACAATCTGCCTTCATCTGAAATACTGTGTGTGTTCAGCTAAATCTCACTGAAGACCACTAAACAAAGCTCTGCACTTCCTCAAACTGATGCCTGTTTTCAGTATTTAAGAAATCCGTATGTAATAAGCTGTGAACATGCAGCAAACTGACAACACTGTACAAATAATATCCCGTACAAGTCCAAAATGAGAAAGTAGCATATCTGCAGACGATGCTCGGATGTGCTTTGTACAAATATTGAGCTTCTTTAAAACCGTGAGTCCGATCAGTGGCTGTACAACTAAGATGAATGCAATCTCAATGTATGCTCAGGTGAAGCTCGAAGCTACATGCGGTTTCAACATCCTGTAAAAACATATACATGAAAAACAGTGCGGCTTTTCAATCCTCCCACAGCTTACAACGCTTTCCCTTCTGGAAAACAAAAAAACAAAAGAAAATAGAAAACAAACGTCATCGTAATTATTCAAAATGTGATACAAAGTTGTACATTTCTGATAAAGGAATGAATAAAAGCTTGAGGCACCAAAGGCTATTATACATAAAATACAAACAATGTGTAAAAATGAGAGAGGGGCAGTGAAAAACCAACAAACGAAAGAGATAAAAATAGTAAAGAAACAAACGTGATCAATCGCGCTCTGTCAACGCTCTCGGTAAACCACGCGTTTGCCCGCCAGGAGAGGGAGACGCTCCTGCTGATCTTGGCGTAAGATCCGCGAGACTCCTGGAGGCTCTCCTGCAGAGTCCGTTCCCGCGCTGGGAGACGGTTCCCGAGCACGCCCGTCCAAACTCAAATCCGTGTGAGGCTGATTCATTTCCCTGTCAGTGCAGCGAGCTTGCCAAGTTTACCTCCCCCCAATACCCACCCACCCCATACCCCTCCCCTCTTGTCCGGAGACCTGTTTGGAGGCACCGCACTGACGCCGAGTGAGCCTCACGAGTGCAACAGTGATAAACCTGCTGATACGGTACCCTCTGCAGGCATCACCACAATAAAGCAACAATAACCAACAGCTTTACTTTCTGGGGGGACATTCAGGCTACCAGCCATGGCGTGACTCCCTTGGGAAGATTAAAGGAAAGCAAAAAAAAAAGATTACTTATTCAGAACTCTAGAGGCTTTTCTTTTTTTTTTGTTAGTGTTGTTTTTTCTGCAGAAGCCATGACGCAACCACAAAACAGTGACATGTATGTACAATACATATAAATATAGTTTCAGTACACTACTCATGCTTTTTCAGGAGTGGGGAGGGCAGGGGTGCAATGTTCTGCTTGGCACAGTCCTTTTTTTTTTCTTTTAGTCTTTGAGTGAATGGTGCTGCGTGAAAGTGTGGTGAGGTTGTTGAGACGAAGCAACACAGAAACACCTAGCGTTTTGGTGTTAGGGAGCCAGTCCAGATCCCACCTCATCCACTTCCTCCCACGCCTCCTTTCACCACCCCCCGTGAATCTGGCCGGGCTGCGACGCTCCAGTCTGAGCCATGCAAAGACTAAAGAGACAAGTTCTGCCACCAGCCGAGGATCTGAGCTCCACCACGGCGTGGATGTGAAAGAGCGGACGCGCGTGTTTTTTTTTTTTTTTTGTTGTTGTTGTTTTTTCCACACGCCGATGTGAGTAGAAGCAGCAAAGAGCATGAAACTTGCAGCGGGGTCGGACAGTGGGGTTGGGGGGGAGGACAGCTATCTCTTTTTGTAGCATTGTACACACAGACTTCTTTTCTTTTGGACTTGTTTTCCCATTAAAAAACTATAAATACCGTAAAAGAAGCATTATTTACAAACTCCATGCGTTTCAGGTTAGAGTGATCACTGCAAGGAAAGCACAACAACAGAGAGCGACGTGAGGATGGGTGTTTTCACATCGGTTCATGAGTCGTACGCTGTGGTTTTCACACAGATGCAATACACTGCTACGACTAACGAGTCACAATAAATGAAACATAACATGCAAACACAGAAGCTGAAACCCACATGAAATAAATACAAACTAACACTGGGTGAGCAAAATATTAGTATCATACTGGGAACAGATTTCGCACTAATAGATAAATCAATAAAAATAATAATTACAATTTCAGTGTTTATAATAAAATTTTACTCAATTATGTTCTCGTCTTACCTTCTGCCAGCACCCAGGCATTGGTAAACCATCAGGCCCCTGTTTAAAGAAGAGCAGCAGAAATAAAACAATGAGATCTGAAATAGCACGGACAGGTTCGCTGAGATGTGATCATGTATCCGCCAATAAATGACAAAAGGTTATAAATAAGTGGCCTTTATGCCAGAGGTAAAGATTACAAATGGTATCCAGATGTTTTGGAACATCCAGTTAATGAGCACAAATCTAAAAGTGTGACACAATAACATTCTCCTACTTCATCAAGTCATCCACGTAATTACACTTGTTCTCTCTTTCCACCCTAAGGATGTGCAACCTGCATGCAGCTAAGTGCTGTGTATATATACTATTAGGTCCATGAGTTTCTGGATGGTGTAGTTTTGCCTCTGTGCACCACTACAGTCGGTTTTAAATCAAATGAAATAGCCAATATGCGACTGAAGAGCAAAACTTCAGCTTTAATTCAACAGCCCCCCATTTTCAGAGGCTCTAAAGTTACTGGACAAAATAAAATAAATTTAATCCAAGTCTAGCCTGAAGTCTAGAACCTGTGGACAGAACCACATGCTGCATTTCCATTTCTGAAAAAGGATGAATGGGTCATCATCTATTTGCATCGTCATCAGTAAGGCTGCAGTATTTGGCTGAATCTGAGCTGAGAGTATAGCCAAGTATACCTCAGAATTCATCCAGATACCATCCTCAGTCACATCATCACTCTGCACTAGTGACCCGTTCCACCGGTAGCCGTACATGACGATGCCACCTCCACCGTGTTTGACAGTGAACGTGGTATAGTTCAGATCAGGAGCTGTTTCTTTACTTTTCTCTTCCAATCATTCTGGTACGTTCACATCCATCTGCCTCCTTGAGAGTGCTTTTGATGTGGTTTGAAATAATTCTGTCTTCACGCCCTCCCAAAGTTTTTGCTCTCTCTGATAGTTTTCCTTCACCTGCATCCGCATCACTCTAAAACCTCAGATCGAGAGTCCATCGAACAGCTGTCCAGTTACTTTTGAGCCTCTAAATATGGGGGGCATATAAAAATGACTGTAATACCTACTGTGGTGGTGTATAATCATTTTGGTGAATTTGACACAACTGTGACTAGTTTAGAGACGGTAATGCAAGTTGCACAACTTCAACCAAGTTATCAAAGTCAGCAACACTACAGACACTACTGCACTTCCCTGGTGCTTGGAAAAATGAATAGAATCATGAACTGTGCAGCGCTTTTCTTTGCTTTCTTTTTAAATGCAACACTGGCTATTATGATAACATATTCTAAATTATTACATGCAACGGCAACCTCAAGAGAGTATATTCAATCATGCATGTAATACACAGCAAAATCTTTCAGGATTTATCTTATTATATGTGCTGCTGTATTTTAGAACATGATGTGGGCACACTATAAAGAAAATCAAGCAAGTGTGATAAAGATAAATAAAATGAATGCAGCTGGTTTGAGTAAATTAATGCAGATGTAATGTAAAAAGATGATTTTTGTGACATTTTCAATGCTTTCTTACTCGATCTGGTTCATTCCTATACACACACAGCACTATGGCATCTTAAAATGAACTCCTTATATACTTTTAAGTGCTTAAATTACCACCCATAGTGTTAAAATATCCATGCAACATACAACATTGTTTCAGAAACAAAAGCTTTGTAAACATATTTGAGAAAAAAGACAATTTTTCTACGAATAGGTCTTGAATTGAGTAGGTCTGAATTTGTAGCAGAATAAACGATTTCTCGTCTTGTCACGGTCTGGCCCAATTGGTACAAAAGCAGAGAGGGGTTGGAGAGTTAACACAGTAAAGGAGGGATCCACGGGTAACTCATCAGTTAAGGAGTCTGTGTTAGCAACAGGTTAAAAGGGAAGTGGTTCATCGAGGAATCAGAAGGACGTAGGGAGTAAGCATAATGCTTTCTGCAGTTTTATTCAGAGGAATGAAAGGATTCAGTTAGAGGGACAGATTTATTTACTTTGTGTATTTTGTTTCTAACGGTGTGCCTAAAACGAGAAAAAGGCTGCTTGCGGTCAGGATGTTAGTGACGTATGTGCACGTGAATGTTGTTTTTCTAGCAATTGATAAAAATGATGACAAAAATGTAACTGTGATGAAAATAAGATGTGCTCATGCTCGTCAGGCTCTCGATTCATGCATGGTTTTGCTTCGGTAATGACTGAAGGTGAGCGGCATGCATGGGTAGGAGGTTTAGGAAGAAGAGAAATACTGTACCAATTGGCATGGGGCATCCAGCCCATCCAGACCTGGCTGCCCTGGTTCCCCCTTTTCACCCTTAAATCCCCGGAAACCCTGTTTGTAAAAATGACCTCGGAGTGTTACTGAGAGAGAGGTGGACGACCCTTACCCCCTGCATCAGTCCACTGCGACAGACACAAGGGGAGGGAGAGGGAGGAGCTGCCCTGTGAGCTTGCGAACCCAACCCAATGTTGTTGTTGTTCTGCATTTGAACAGTTGAATTATTAGGAAAGTAATACGCTTTAATATTTAGGTTATTTTGGTGGTATTCTGGGTCTCAGCACAGCCAAAGGGAGCTCCTTCCTTCCTTGTTTGGAGCGACCGCTCACAGTTGGGACATACCAATGGGCAGGGTGCATCTAATCCTGGGGCACCCTGTTCTCCTTTCTCGCCCTTAGGCCCTTTTTTGCCCTTCTTTCCCTTCTCCCCCTGTGGATACAATGGTTTGGTCAAGTTAAGAAGCATTTGTCAACAATAAGGACTGCTATTAGGAGGGATTAAATAAGGGAGGCTATGGCCCACAGAGAGGAACGACACATGGTCAGTGTTAGGAAGGAGGGGATACCAAACAATACCGGCTACTCTAAAAACATTCCTTAGGGCAGGAAGTAGACATAAAAAGGGAGGTAGTGAGGTGGGTAGGAGAAATTGGAAAAAACACTTCATAGCCAAAGGGATGTCAAGGGCACAAAGGATGAGAAAGTGTAGCAGGGAAAAAGTCCTCCAGAAAGACAGAATAAAATTTTACTACACACTGAAAAAGTCCAAACTGTATCCCTGTAGAACAGAATATTTTCACATACTCAAATCAACTGTGTTAGAAATATCAGGTTTGAGAAAGTACAGCAACACTTAAAGGTTTGGGGTGATTTTCAAAGTAAAAGTGTGCATGTGTGGATGTTTTAAAGCACATTGTTTCCATCTAATTTAAGATTTAATGAGAAATAAATGAAATAATTTATAATAAATGAATAGTTAATTAATTTTCAGTCAGATATGTCACAGACATCTCTTCTGTGTTTCAGTTCACATTCCCACTGTGTTACCTAATGCAAAGAGCAAAAACAGCCTCAAAAAAAGCTTTTTCTGCCCTTTGAAAGAGGGTTCATGTGATGTTTGCAGATAAGAGCGTGATCTATAATGAGAGCAGGTAAAAGAGTGCCTGTAGTGGTGGAAGTATGCTCTGGAGTGAAGAGGAATGAGAGTAAAAGCAAAACAGAATACGAGTAGGTGTAAGAAACAAGCAGGTGTAAGAGTGGAGATGCAAGGTGACATCTCTTCTGTGAATGACTTTAAATACCTGGGGTCAACCATCGAAAGCAATGGACAATGCAGAAGAGAGGTGAAGAAGATAATACAGGCAGGGTGGAGCGGGTGGAGATTATTGAAAGGGAAGGTTTACAAAATGGTTAGACTTGCTTTCATGTATGGTTTGGAGACAGTGTCAATGTGAAGGAGGTCATGCAGAGGGTCAGCGTGACAAACGAGAATGCTTCATTTAAGGTAAGATGAAGATGGCCACTAAAGACAGCAGCTGGAAGAAGATGGAGAAGTTCAAGTGTTCCTGTGATGGATTTCATAACATATGTGTACTTCTCCCTTCACAGAACACCTGAAAATGAATAATAAGAGAATAAGAGTTGGGAAGGCCTCAGTGAACTGCTGTACTTGGAGGAGAAGTACATCAGAATCTCTATTTTGAGAAACGGATGTCTCACTGGCAGCTTCGTGACACATTATTGTATGAAGCCTATTTCAGCCTTTATTGCTCTTCAGCATGTGTTGCTTTAATCAGCACAACAGTTTTCAGCTATGCAAACATTATCAGTTAGCTGAACCCTCATCAGCTAATACGACAGATTTGTTTGAAGTGGTTGAAAATGAGCCTGTGTAGAAATTCCATCAAACATAATAAATGATTTATAATGAAAAATACATATAAAATATGAATTTAAAGTCACCCCAAACTTTGAAGTGGTAACGTATGTTGAATTGAGTTCATGCAAGTTATTAGCACTCATAGCTACCACCCATAACTCAGTAAAAGTGTAAGTGCTTGATTATTGTGTATCATCCACACTCTGCCAGATTCTTATCAGACGCTACCTGTACAAATACACTAAAGAGGCGCAGCGCTACAATCTGTTGTGCGTTAGAAATTGTCGGTAAACACGACGATTCACAGAACACGCCACAGAGCAGCAAAGCGTCTTTATATAGGATACAGTTTCTTAAAGACATCTACTGAACAAATCATGCCTGTTAGTGGTGCAGAGACACACACAAGTAACACTGAAAGCTACAGACTACTGTAAACACAAGCAGGGAAAGGATTACCAACAGGCTCAGCAACTCAAGGTGAAATGCTTCAAGTTTATGTCCATGCGTGGAAACAACAGAAAATAAATAAGCATGAATTTTAAGAGCCTGTTGTCAATGGACTTGTTTGGGCTAATACATCAAAATCAGCTTTAAATGACTTAGAATGACACTGGATTTGATGAGATGGCAAATCACTCAAAAGTGGAGAACAAAAGCTGGTTTGAGAGGACTGGGGATGACACTTTAAGCAATGGAGGACTGCCGTTATAGGACACTATTATCCAATTGGCTCTTGAGTCCATCTGTCGAGGAGGCACAACTGCTGTACAAAAGACTGAGCCCAAGCAAAACATGTTCACAGTATCTGTAAAGGAAGCTCATTAGGATAATAATGGCTAATGAAATTAGCAAATTAAAATGTACTGTAGTCAGCTACTGAGTCAAAGTAGGCAGGTTTAATAAGGTCAGTTATTATTGATATTATAGCTCTAAAGCATCCTGTCACTGTCCATTGACATCAGCCTTCTATGTAGTTATTAATGAGCCGTTACAGTATATCTACATCTACCTTTTCTCCTCTTTCCCCAACGTCGCCTTTTTCTCCCCTTAAGCCTGGCAACCCCTGTAAAAGCACAACTCCACATTAAAATCTGACGCACGGGGGTCCCGACCAAGGTCGGCGTGTGATGAGCTGTGCTCGCCTTTGACACGCACAGACATAAGAGGCTTATCTTGCCCTTGCAACGCTAAAAGCAAGACATTTTCAATCAAACTTAAAACTGAAAGCTTTAAAACTTAAGACCAAAAGAAGAAGAAATAGCTGGGTGTAAAACAAAAAATGATATTTATGTAGTTAACTTCTAAATGAGATCTCTAAAGGGCTCCGTAACCAGACCAATCTACGCACAACAACGCTTACTGAATTGAACACACAGTGTATGAGAACTTATAGAAGATCAATCAGCCATCTTTCTATCATTCACTAATAAGATAATTAGCATCAGGCAAGGAGGAGTACTTATTATCCACAAAAAGCAGCACAAATGAACAAAAAGTGCCTGAAATGACTGATGCTATTATGGTATATCATGCTATCGACTTGTGATATGGAGATTTGCAAAATGTGGAACATATGAGGCAGATTTGATGAGGCGTTCCTCTGTTATACAAAGTATTTTTCAGGTATGGGTTGGCTTTCTTTCTGTATATCATTTGGTGCTTTACAACTCATATTCAGGAACTAAATTATGGACATTTTAAATAATGCTGCATCAGATTCTGTGGAGTTACACTTTCTTCTTGTTTTGAGATTTAAAATATATATTTTAAAGCTTTTTCCTAAGTATTCCTCAACCAGAAGAAGCGGTTTGATTCCTGTTTTCATCACTAATTCTTTTTTCCTCAAACTTTCGTGTTAAAAACAGAACTAAAAGAAAGTCAAACAGACTCACATCCAAGCCTGGTGTTCCAGCAGCTCCCTGCAAATAGAGACATGAGCCGTATTATGATTAAAAATATGTATTTCACACTGTATCAATACATTTTTTTATTTTTTGTAACAAAAAATACAACGTAAATGTAGGCATTGAACTATTTCAAACTCACAGGTAGTCCATAGGGTCCTCTTGGCCCTGGCTCACCTGGTGCTCCTTTCTCACCCTAGTTTAAATACATCAGTGTTGTACTTACAATGGCAGGTAAAAGGTTAAATGAATTAGGACCAACCGATATATGAGATTTTTTAACACCAATATGGATATTTAGTGATTTACAACTCCGATAATCTGATAAATATTTTTCCTTTCAGACACAATATAGATTCCTGAATACTTTTTACAAGCAGTTATTTACGAGTCCTTTCTATGATAACATGACAGTAAAATGTATAATCTTGTTTTCCTGCCACTTGAAGTCATGGATTACTCATTTACACTCTGCTTGACTCTGATCAGTTGGTTAATGTAGCACTACTGTGCTAACAGGGGAATGGCAGAGTGCCCTCTGGTGGACAAACTATACCACAGCAACTCTCGCTGCTGAATAATCTCTTCTTTATTTATATAATTAATTTTAATTTATTGGCCATTATAAAAAGCGGATGCTATATTGACAAACATCTAATGTCGGTCAATAATCGGTCACTATATATCGGTCTGCTGTTAATGCAGAGTATCATCAGTAAGATAGAAGAAATGAAATGTTGATCTTACAATATCCCCCTTCGGCCCAGCTGGACCAGCAGGACCTGAAGGCCCATCCATGCCCTGCAGAAAACAGTGTTATCATGGTGAGTTTACAACCTTGGGTTAGAATAAGCACGTGTTTCAGAATAATTAAGGTTAATGCAAATGGTAGCAAAAGCCACATATAGCCTCCGCATATATATTTATACATGTATATATATATAATACTCCTGGTTTGACCTACAACCAGCACACAGAAGTGTAAGACGTGCATTGGCCACAAAGGACATTTACGCTGCTGACACAGTTAATGTATGAGTGTGTGTTAATGCTCAGTTAATGCAACACGGGACAAAACAAGAGCCTTGAAATGCCTGCTCTAACAGTGCTGCGTATGGTCTCAGTCCTCTGAGCTGAAGTGAGTGCGGGCAGTCTTTTTTTCTGAGCTATAAAAATCGAAAAGAAAACAAAACTGTCTTTTTTGGTAAAAATGATATAAACAGTATGAGGTGGCATGGCTGAACAAAAAGAAAAATAGGAGAATGAGGGGACTGTATGGAGGGGATACTGTCGAAGTAGATACTGTACGAGTTAGGTGCTGAAGCCTCTTGGTCACATGGCACTCACCCTAATTCCAGGCTTGCCGTCCAAGCCGGAGGCTCCCTGTGTGGTTATGGAGGTATGAGTGACATGAACAAGGCGGGATTAGTACCAGATGAACACTGTTATTAGGACAGGTTGATGGCAGGGTTTACAACAACTAAATTACACTGTGTGTTACAGGGCGCTCGGCAAAGTAATCAGCCCAGGCAAATGAAAATGAGCACAGAAAATGGATTATAGATGCACGCACTTACACACACACACACACACTTACATATACAAACACACACATACAAATGTGTGTACTAATGCACAATACAATACAAATGAGGGATCTCTATGGTGTAAAGAAATAAAGAAATAAAGGGCAGGACTGGCTGAAGACACCCTGTGGTGTGTGGTTTCACTTACAGGGAGACCCAGAGGTCCACGGTCCCCTTTGTGTCCTGGTTCTCCTCGAGTACCCTTTGCCCCATGCAAACCAGGTTCACCCTGAGAAAGAAAGAGAAGCAGGAGATGGTTTCGTTTTACGTTTCAGGCTCACTAAATATTTATAATAACTACTTATAAGACAACCTAACTTTGGCTTAATATTGTACACGTGAAGGAATTTCATGTTCACTTTGTTGATATTTACCTTTGGTCCAGGAAAGCCATGGGGACCCTGAAAAACATTTAAAAAGCGTCTAACATTAGTTTACAAGTACCTGGTTTGATTATTCTGAATATATTTCATTTGTCTATCCCCACATTTCTTTTCTATGTTCTGCTTGTGGCCCGAACCGTTGCACATAAATTGTTGTGAAAGCTGCATTGAAGGGATGGACGAAAAGTAGAACAAGCGCAGCACCGTGAAATTGCTCACAGCGAAAAACTGACGAGGGCTCCCTGTGTTTTATTTTTACTTTGTTCCTTGGTGACTTCATACAAGCAAACACTGCTGTGGGATTAAAGAGGAGTTAAGCTGGACTGGGCTGCAGACAGATGGGAAATGTAATTAGTGACTGACAGTCTATATATGTAAGGTGAAGGAAATGCTAGCGTGGCTCCAAATACCCACTTCTTCTTAAAATATTGAGATTTTTTTAAAAGGAACCTGTAGACTTTTAACCTGCTGCTGGACACTGTGTGAGGTGTTGTCTTTTCGTTCGCTATGAGTTGTCATGTAACATGTCATTAGGGTTATTAGCATATGCTGTGTGTCTAATACACGTGTAGTTTGTGTCCACTAATGAAAAAGGGGGTTTTCAGGGCAGCACACTGACCATAGGTCCTGGGGATCCATGGGGCCCTGGTGGCCCTGGAGGGCCAATTATCTGAAAACATTAGGAGAGAAATGATATAATAAAAGTGTGAGTCAACAAGTTTATTACATGTTATTTACATTTCACAATAAAAGCGTGACATATAGGGCAGATAAAAAAACAGAGTGAGAGCAAAAATAGCGCTACAAGGTGTGTGTGATTTACAAAAGTGGAACTATTTTCGAAACACAGGTGCAATTATTTCATTTGAGTATCAAGTGCAAAATATAAGACATGCTTTTAGCAGCAAATCAGTAAATCAGGTTGCACACTTTATTTGATTATTTTCTTCCTGATATTTTGCACCTTGAGGAAAGGAACTCCCAGAAATGCGTATGGAACTGGGTCAGCTGTAGAAATCTGAGTGTCCACCTCTTACATCAGTCTTGTCACTGCACTCTCTTTGTAAATATTGTTGTTACTATATTTTGTTCTAACTTACAGAAGGACCTTGAGGACCTGTGAGTCCTGCATCTCCTTTATCCCCTTTCATTCCATTGACACCCTAGAGGAACAAAAGTTTCATGAGATCCACGTTGTGTCTGCCGAATGTCAGGCTGAGTAGGTAAAAGTTTCAGAGGCATTTATCAGAATGGGAGAGTATTCTTACAGGTAAGCCAGGTAAACCAGTTGTTCCTTTCTCCCCTGAAGCTCCGGGCATTCCCATGTCTCCTTTAGAGCCTTTGTATCCCTAAGAGGGGGTAGAAAGTTACCCAAAGAGGTCAAAATGATTAATTTCTATTTTCACTGTAGCTATTAATTGAGAATGGGTTTTGTACTGGCTACAAAAAACTGTCTGTTCCCCTGATATTCTCTAACAGACACTGTCCTGTCTGTGGTGGATTGTCATATTAGACATTTCAAATAATGAGGTCAACAAATATGCAGGTAATCCTTCTTCTTGTTTCTTGTTTATACCGTTCAGTTGCTTCTGTTGATTTTCAGTTCTGTTTCCCTGTATAGGTTACTCCCAGTTCTGTGTCTTCCCCACTATGTTGGTTGTAGTGTCATGTCTTCAGTGTGGGAGACTGTCGTGTCCCCTGTGCTTAAGTCTCCCTCGCCCTTTGTGTCTCAGAGATGTCTTTGCCTCCGTGTCGCTCCCTCTCTATCCCTCTGTCTTATCTCCTTCTCTGGTTTACATGTTTCCCCTTGTGTCTCGTTCCATGTCTTCCCCATCTGTCATGTGTTCTCCCCAGCCGTCTCTGTATTTGTTTCTCAGTATGTCCGTGTCCCATCTCCCGTTTCTATTTCCCTAACGTGTCTTAAGTCTGCGTCTCTACGACTCCTGTTTTATTTTGAAAGTCTTGTGTTCCGTGTTTAATGTGTTTATTTTTGCTTCCTCTGTGGCGTCATGTTCATTTGTATCTGCTGTGTTTCCAGTTCCCTCGTCACCCTCATGTGCATTTATGTGATCTGTTGTCATGCATTCACTGTCAGGTTGTCTGTGTTTCACGCCATGTTTCCATGTATCCAGGCCAGGTTTCATGTTAGGGGTTTTTCACGTTTAGCTTTCCCAGTTTAGGTTATTGTTTAGCTTCGTCTTGTTTCACCTTTTCCCTTTGTTTTGTAGTTTGCAACCAGACATAAAAAATGGCTCGATTTTTGTTAAGAACCCCGTTTTGCCTTTGTTTGTCTACACTTAGGTCGTCTACTCTCGACTCCACATGTTAAGGTTAACCAAAGTAAATATATATACACACACACGTATAAGATCAACTTACTCTTTCTCCATCAAGTCCAGGAAGACCAGGCAGACCGCGATCCCCCTGATATGACATTTTTATGACCACAAATTAAACTAAATTAGCTATCAAGTTACATAATGTGACTTGTAAAAGTCACCACTTGACATCATAATCAAACACACAACTACACCTACACACACACATAAGAAATGTACCTTTATGCCTGGTGGTCCCGTTGGCCCAGGAGGCCCAGGGGGACCCTGGACAGAAAGAGAGACAGATTTCTCTTCAACACGTGCGCACAAGTGTGAATACATCACAGCTGTAGTGAAACCTACGAAACAATGCTGTGAATTACGTTTTAATTAACACTGGCACTGGCCACTGAAAAATTACGTTAGGAATCAGGTATTAACCATGAACAGGACGCTCAACACATGCAGAGGTCACAACAGTGAGAACATGTATGACAGAATTACACACTTTGATGTTAGGATGTGAGGGCTGCATGACTTCGACAGCTGAACCATAAATTCTGCCATTCTGACACCGATTTAGGGTGAAATGGAAAATCTGCATTTTTCTGCTCTGGGGTTTGTAGTTCTTAGTGAAAAAAAAGGCTACACATCCGTATGCTTATTTTAGATGTAGACATGTTGGAAGGTGGAATAAACTATTGCTGACTCAAACCACAGCCTTTGGGATTCTTGACTGCTACACGTGATGCGATTTTGACAAGAAGCGGACTGAATGAGTTTGGAAAACCCTCTTAATGCTGTTTAATAGACATTCAAGGACACAACCAGCAGCTCAGGCAGCATGTAAGGTCGATCACAGACAAGCACAATCGCAGCACTGAATACAGTTTTATTCACTGTCAAGCAAAAACGTTGCTGGGTGAGGGAGGACAAGTACAACAGGGCAGCGCAAACGGGTGTTGGAACCGGGTCGGGCCCATGCTCGGACATAGATGGATCACACTTTGGAAATGAAACGATACACAGAATACACAGAGCCTATTTACCGTAACTGTAATAGTGGTAATCTTCTGCAGTAGGCCACAGGAGTGGAAGTGGGGAAGAGGTGAGAGATAAGATTGTAGAGGTCACATGAAAAGAAACCTTTGTGTCAGCACATTTCTGCACAGGAACACCCTCAACGTCTATAGAGCTCAACCTAAGCAGCTTCAAATGAAGGCATTGCACTGGATTACATTTCTATACATGTTTATATTTTTTCCTTTTTAGTCATTATGTTATGCAGGCAAATAATTCACTTTCACCTACTTTAGCTCCACTTTTAATCTGGCAAGTAAGCAGTGAGGAAGGCGAACCATTCATAGGTAGGTACACGCATCAAAAATAAAAAGGAATCACTTTCCCCTCGTCTTTTCCGTCTAAGGAACCGACCTGTAAAGCTTCCTGAATGTTTCCGTTGTAGTCGATGATTTCGGTGGCACCTTGTTCTCCTTTCTGCCCAGGTGGGCCCTGCACATGTCCGACACCATTAAACACATTTTTATTTCACACATGATTATATCATATCAAAGAATTACAAGCTCAATAGAGTGCCTCCCTTTCAGAAATCTGCCTAGGCTTAACTACTGCCCCCTGGTGGTGATAACAAACCAACACTCAAACGGAGCTGTCACTCTGATGTGCTCATCCTAATCACATCCTAGAACTGAAGTGTTGTATTAGAAATTAAAAGGTTTAGCGTATCAGCACACAGCATCCTTAATTATCTTTAATATGCTTGCTTACCCTTGGTCCAATGAGCCCCAAGTCTCCTTTATCTCCACCCTCGCCCTAACATGAAAGACAAACAACAAATATTGAACTCAAGGCACACTGCCGTCACGCCTTCAGCCACACACGTTACATTTTTATAGATGCTGAGGCCTTTTAGTATTTACAGCTTGCATTTGACAGAATGAAAGAACAACTTTGATGAAATAATATCTATGTTCTTTACAGCTTCAAAAGCTGTGATAAAAGCTTGAATAAATTAATTATACATGAGAATAAATTAAAATCTGAAGTTCAGCTTTTCGCCCTTATTACACTGAAGGAGTTTAAAGTGTTGGTGGAGTTTAAATTTGTGTGTGCGACCGATTTATGTGAGTTAGTTTGAATGTTGTTAATTTAATCTGATGTGTGTTGCATTCAACTCAAAGACTCCTCCAACATTTATTAAAACCTGTAAATCTGATTGTTTTTATAAACAACACGCTTAACAAGGATCATCAAGTTCTTAGTGTTTTCACATTTTTACCAGCTCAGGACAAAAAAAACAAACCAAGATCACTGGAAAATAGCTGGTTCTTTTACCCAGGATCAACTACTTCCCATGCAGTGTAGAGAAAACAAATCTGCTGTACTGACCTTTGACCCTTTAGGGCCAGGTGTACCAGCCTCTCCTTGTGAACCCTGCCACGTTTAAAAAAAACACACAGGTGAAGAGGTTACTAACGCTTAGTACTTCAGACATGCACATAAAGTTGAAGAATATAAAACAAACCCTTTTTAAAAACTTTTTATGGGTTTAAAGAAAATGACGCATTTCTAAAAACACATTTCCTGAAGGAAACATTATCATCCTCTCTGACTCCTCCTGTGAGAGCTACGCAGCGAGCTCCACTAAAATAACCAGGTTTTAATACGCTGCAACCGCCAAGAAGTGGAGAACGTGTTTATTTGAACTGTGTCGCTGACAGAGGATGAGTTTCACTTCTGGGGCATGTAATAGGATGTGAACCAGATCTCTGTGTCGTCTAAGTTTAGACTGGAGATTAAGCTACCTGCAGGGGCAGCACCAGACATAAACAAAGGCAACCTCATTTACACTGGGTTTACTTTACACGCACTCCAGGGAAAGCCACGGACCTATCACAGACTATAATGTTTTAGCCAGGTTTAACAAAAAGAGAACATGAAGTCTTGATTAAGCATCGCCTTATCTGATTTATGACTTGGAGAACTTTGCCGTGTGTGTTTGGATCAAAGAGGCTCTAGATGGCAGCAAAGCAACAGCTGAAAAGCTCCAAAGACTCCTCGCTTCAGCGACTTATTTCTTTAATAATTCATACCGTACGCACAGGCATGAATGCACACTTATGCCCTTCACTTGCTGACCTTTGGTCCAGCGGGTCCCGTCTCTCCTCGTTCCCCCTTCCCTGGTGGTCCGTGGTCACCTTTCTCACCCTGTGCAAAGAGAAGGAGAAGGAGAGGTGAGTTACTATTGTTCTCCTGCAAAAAAAAAACAAGGTGTCATGCAGAACTGCTGATCAAAGCTGAGTTCCCTCTTTAATGTCAGCACAAGGCCCGCGGTGCATCTTCTGAACATGAGGCGCGCCTTCGGTTCCCCTCATGTCATACATATTCAGCATGACTCCTCAGCCTTTTCACGAGCTCGCTTACTCAACATATTCAAACGGCGAAATGTAAATACTGATGCCGAGTCAGCACGAGGCACACATGAGATGTGACAGGGCCGAGAAAATCGACAACAAAGAAGTGAAACCCTTTTCCTTAAAGTCGATGATTTAAATGCACGTTCTTAATTTTGAATTTTGATTTGACTGAAAACAGCCAATAGAGGGAGACGTGGTAAAACTCGAGCTTCACAGTGTCTAATACTGATATTTAAAAACCGAGCGGGACGCAGTTATTATCCAGCAGCATCGATTCAGTAAGGATTTAATAATAAACGATTACTGATATGTTATTATGTGTAGTGTGCCTTGAAAACAAAAAAAGCAAGTAAAACGCTGATTGGAATGGAATAAACATTAAGCCAAATTGTTTTTCTACAAAGCCAATTTTTTAGCTTCTCTCTGCCTGACATTTGATTAAGCAGCAGAAATATGCTAGAGGACAGCGAAACGCTAATATATCTCAGTTATCTGCGCACTGCAAACAGCCCGATGCAAAAGGACATGAGCACGAGCAATAACTCTTGCATGTCTGGATTATCACCGCTGGCTCCGCAGTGTGATAATGTCAGGACTCAAAGGTAGCGGCAGAGGATTATCTCATTCTGACCACTTCCAAGTGACATTTTGAAGCAACAGAGGTTTAATCACCTTGAGGGGAAAGCGATAATGAAGGGTAATGAGAACAGAAACTCAAAGGAATTCGCGATTTCACCGACGATCGGGCTGATAGGATGTGATAACCATCAGTCAAAGTGTTTGCGTATCATCATTACCAGCTCGTAATATTCAGCGTGTCACTCGGAGCAGAAAATACCTCCCACGCTGTGATAAACAACATCACAGTGACGAGCTGAAATCACCCACCTTAGTTCCTGGGAGTCCTGGAAGCCCAGGCTCACCCTGGGGACCGAGAAACCCGGGCTCACCCTGCGCAAAAAAAACAAAAACACAACCACGAGCAGCTATTATTAATTTTTCCACTGGGCGTCTCTCATGTAGCGCTGCTAATGAGCACTAAACACACACACACAAGATGCATGAGCAAACACATTTATAATGACAGGCATGCACTTACAGCTCGCACACTTGCACGCGCACTCATGCATAAATCACACTCACAGACACACATTATCAGTGGCTGGTTAATTTATCCCCTGGATCCTCATATATTAACGAGTCTCTCCCTCTTATGAATCCTAATAGACGTTACGACTGACCTTGTTAGAAACTCATCGGGGCACGCAGAAGCGTTCTGATTAAGAGGGTCTGCGCCGCTCACGGAGACGCTTCCAATTTTCCTGCATTTGCACTTTCACGTATGAGGAGCGAGGGTCCAGCATGAAGTGCGACACTGGGTTTGATTTACATTACATTTGATTGGGAAATTACTTAACCGGAATGTATTATTACACCATCTGCAACCTAGAGAACATTAGGCACTCTGGAAGCCCTCAGAGAGGCAATGGACATTTGGCTTTCAAACCTTTAAACTTTGATCGGATAAACAGCAAAGAATGCAGAGAGCAGAACAAAGTGCAGGGCCGAGTGCTACGTTAGCAAAAAAATATTGTTAGAATCCATCAAGCATACAGGCCTCTTAAGTCAAAACAGGAGTATATAAAGTGTAAAATGAAAGGGCCTTTTTTTAACAAGCCCAGCACGTTCCAAGCATATGAAAAGAAAAGAACAAAACAGGCATAACAAGCACCATCATCTCCATGTCCGTGTGAGCATTCCTTACATTCAACAGTTATATTTTAAGCTTAATGGTCCTCAAGTGCATTGATTTTCTTTAACATGCGCCATTTGTGCTTTTTGATTCGCCATCTGCTCTTGATACGGGGAAAACAGTAGCTTTAACTTCCTCTTTTTAACGAGCAGCACTTTTGACACATTGAGCCTCCTGATTGCCACCGTCAGGAAGTCGACTGAAATGTCTGCCTGCTAAGCAGCATTCGATCATTAATTCATGGACCTCCGTGTTATTCACGAATCCTAATGAGACAGTTTTCCTGCTGAACGCTGGCATCTTTAGATCAAAAGCTCAGACTGTTTGGTTTTGTCATTTCGCCTAAACTCCTCACTTTCGCTTCGCAGCAGCTACCGCGCTGCTAAGCTGAAGCGCGAATCCCCACAAAGCAGGAGAAGCGAGATCGGACCACGACGGCGTGACAGCAGGCCAGATGTGTACTCTACCACAGATGGACTGAAGCTGACGGACAGGGACAACACTGATGGGAGGGTGGATGAAAACACGAAGCATTTACCTTTATCCCTGGTAGTCCAGGCAGCCCTGGAAGTCCTGGCTCTCCCTACACAAGAAGAGTGTGACATGTTACAGCCAAGCCAAGCTAAGCTGAGTCAAGCCTCATTTGGGTTTGAAAAGCTCTGTGCTTTATTTTCTATTTGTGTTTTCCTCTGTCTATCAAGCTGTCGTGGTTCTGAAAAGCTGCCCGCTGTCCAGAAATTGTATTTTCACCGTCATTCGCTTGTGGTAAGCATCAGCAGAAGGTACTTGCACATGCACTTTCAGACCAACTCATGCAGCCGTGGCTTGATAGCGCGATTAGTACTTGTTATAAAACTCAACCCTTCAAAAAGTGCAACTGAGTTTCATTTTTAGGATTTTATTGGTTTGGGCAGGTGTGAAGTGTTCGGGGTTGCTGGAAGGAAAAATCGTCTGATACTTTGGGTTAAAGTTGCAAAAGCTGTTTGCGAAAGCTGCCACGGCTTCAAGGTCCTCCGAGTTTGGCAGCGTAGGAAGAGTTGGCGTATTTTTCTATTATCAAGGTCGGGTGATTGTCAAGCTGAGAACGCAGTCATTTGATTCGACTGTGGAAAACTCAAGAGGTCAGGCTCCCCCCCCAATCCTCCGATGAGAATACTTTGAGACTTTCAAAATAAAAATTTCTGACTTAACGGGAAAATTATGACCACTGGATTTATGGCATATGAAAAGAAATGATTAGCGCCGCTCAAGAATAATGAATCGTAATGGCACTCGGGGGATCAGAGAGGAGGCTGTAAACTGCGATTGCTGCTAATGAAAGCATTATAAAAAATTAAGTCCTTCTTGTTGACAGCTGAATAAATGAGTGCCACCCAATGGTGATGTTAAATGGGAAACAACAAATCAATCTTGTGACATTATTATGTGAAAAAAAACCCAATTTTTAAGTGTGTCAGCACAAGCAGGATGTAAAACGAACAATATGATTAAGCATTAAAAGTTAGTTAGGCCACAATTTTACTTGGCGGCAAAGCAGGAAATAAGAGGCACTTGCTAAAAAAAACAACCTTTCTGTCGCCTGGAACTAGTTTGTCCAAACAGATAAAAGAGACTGAGAGTGTAATTTACATGAGGCATTGGTGCAATGTCAGCAGAAGTCTGGTCAAAGGCCGGACAATGGCTCAGTTTTCTTCGGCGTGACTGTTTATTAGTTTCTCAACAAAAGCTGTTTCTTCAGCAACATTCTCCTGGCTGCCATTGTTGCCTCGGAAAGTATGTCAAACACTACAACAAACAACGGCCGGGAACAGAGGTCGTAGCGGCGAATATCGCTTGAACAATAAAAACTGAAGCAGCAGAATAGGGTGACCTTGTGGTTGGAGCTAAGGGAAATGCACGCAGAAACATGGAAACAAGAAAAAAGGAGCCAAAAAAAGAGAAAAATCCAGAAGATTAGTATATCCAGAGGTGTTAGTATGAAACTGGAGACCCTACACTGGCTCTAAACAACAATCAAGCTGAATTAAAGTGAACTGAAGGGCTGTGATGTACTGAAGGTCAACTTGCATTCTTAATGCCATTTAAACAGTAACGTTGGGCTGAGTTTTGAATGAGCATGTCCATATTTGAGCTTTTCTAATTTGCAAAAGTTTCGATGTGTACAGGCACAATGATGAAAAAGAAATAGACTTTCATATACACTCAGGTTTCCTAAAACTATTCACTGGTCGAGTTATGTTTTGAGTAAAATATGTCGGTATATTTAAAACCATACTACTGTGACTGTTGCATGCAATTATGTACTACTTCCTTTATGCTGTGTATCAAAAAGCCATGAGGTGTAGCAAAGTGTAGTCGTTACCTTTAGTCCACTTCTTCCAGGCTCTCCAGGTTCACCCTGTAATACATGTAAAGAGTTTTCTATTTAACCGGTGTGACCGATTTCAAAATACCACCAACTATCTGTACTTCTGTTCTGCATGTATTAACAGAAAGTCCTTTATAAGGTCTTAATCTTAGTAGTTAGTTTCAATTGGTAACAAAAAAGACCCCTGATCCAAGTACGTATAGCTATCTGAAGGCTATCTTATTTTCTTTCATGTTGACTACACTGACCTATTCCTGTTCATAGAGTAACACTAGCTCATTATTGTGTCATTGCTTTACTAATGGAAGTCCATTTTTTCCTTATTGAATCCAATTAAAATGAATGAAAGTAGCACAGACTAGCATTCGTCTGGTAAGTAAACTATACTTAAAAAATTTAACAGAATCTCAGTGAGAAGGGCGTTGGTTTAGCTCACTGTGTTGAGCGGGTGCCCACATGCCCTTTGGCTCAGAGCAGCCAACCCGCAGTTTCCCCGTCTCTCTCTCGCCTTTTGCATTCCTGTCAGTTCTTCAATCTGAGAAAATCTAATTTTCTCATTGAAACAAACATAATGTCCCAGAGATGTTCTGTTTGATTTAGCTGAGGTGAGTGTGGGAGCCAGTGAAGTCCTTCATCTTCCACGAACTGCCTGTGAAATCTCACCACTTGAGGCTGGCATTGTTGTGCACTGGGAGGAACCCGGGACCACCTGCACCAGCATTGGTTCAGAAAATCGAACCAAGGGATTTCTTCCTGATACCTAATGATACCTAATGAAGGCCAGAGTGTTGTTGGCTACCCTGCAGAGCTCTGTATGCCTCTCCATGGATATGCCTCCTCAGACCATCACTGATCCACCACTAAACCTGTCATGCTGAACGATGTTTCAGGCACTACAAGAGGACGTCGGGCCATCAGGCCAGCCTCATGAAGGCTGTTTCTGATTGTTTGGTCAGAGACATTTACACCAGTGGTCTGCTGGAGGTCATTTTGTAGGTCTGGCAGTCCTTATATAGTGCTAATCCTGTTCCTCCTTGTACAAAGGAGGAGATACTGATCCTGATAATGGGTTTACCATTATCAGGACCATTTACAGCCCTATCCTGCTCTCCTAGACTAACTGCCTGTCTCCTGGAATCTCCTCCATGCTCTTGATATGGTGCTGGGAGACACAGCAAACCTTCTGCCAGTGGCACATCACAATGTGCCATCCTGGAGGAACTGGACTATCTGTGTAACGTCTGTAGGGTCCAGGTATCACCTCACGCTACCAGCAGCGATACTGACACAAAATGCAAAACTAAAACAGTCAGAAAACTGTCAATGGCCTCTATCTGCAAAACCTGTTTCCTGTTTCGGGGGTTGTCTCGTTGCGCCCCTGTAGTGCACCTGTTGTTAATGTCATTAACACCAAAGCAGCTGAAACTGATTAACAACCCCCTCTGTTACTTAACGGACCAGATCAGTATCCAACAAGTTAAACTCACTTGATGCTTTACTGCTTTTTTTAGCGTAGTTTAGTTAACACTAGCTAATAAACTAGCACTCCAGCCAGTTATGCTAATATATTGAGTTCAGAAGCCAAAAAGCCAAGCTGGTAAAGGCTAAAATGCCAGATGTTAATGCTCCAAAGGATAGTTAACAAACCAAGGAACATCTGTCTTTTTTCTGCTGTCTACAGTCAACCCTATTTAAAAAATACCTGTAGATGCACACACAGTCACAACTTGGACCTTAATGAATTACATTTTTCCATTTAAAAATCTTAAATCAAGGACAAAATGACAGTGGCTTTAGCTTAGCTCTCACCTTGATGCCTGCTGCAGAGGAGCCTGCATCTCCCTAAGAAAGAGTCACAGAAGAAAAGTCAGAAAGACACAAAAGGCAAAACAAAAAGTGACAGAGACTGTTAAAATAGTCGTTGGGCTTGTCTGTGAGGAGTCAACATTATTGTGCAATTACGTTTACAAAATGCTGACTTATAGAAAAGAAACCCATTTACCGAACAATGCGGAGCATAATTTCACAACTGCTGCATTTGACTGGATAAAACTGGGTGAAAACACAATTTGAAGAGCAGCTTGTTTGCTATTCTAAACAGAGAATGTACCTTTTCACAAAAGCTGGAGACAGCATTTTTATGACTACGGTGCTGGGAATCGTTTCAGTTTTACCCCGCAGCTGGGCAGGGGTGATGACATGCAGGGTGAAATCTAACACTATATACAATAAGAAGAAATCCACAGCAGTATAGGAGGTGAAGGTGTTTAAGGAGGCACACTAACAGGAACCACTGAAAGCTTTGTTCATTGCTTCTCCTTAGATATGGCACGGAACTAGAAGGAGACAGAGCTACTTATATCACATTTTTCCAGCAAAGCTGTCCAGACACCAAGAACGCAGACCCTTTTTTTCTATGCACTGCATCACTACTGCAGTGTACAGTAAAAACAGACATAAAACAAGGGGCCAATAAGTCTAATTACGGGTGGTTGGTGGGAAAAAGGAGTGGGGAGGAGGAGGCTGGGTCTTTAGCTCTGGTGTGGACTCTGTGGTTTCACTACACATACGCCTCGCGCTCAGAAGTTGCTGAAGGAATGCCTCTCGCCCTCAGCTTTTTATGGGAGTCATTATGATGCATAGCACACAAGGCAATGTTTAATTGTGGCTTTTTTTTTTTGCACACAATAAACTGCGTTACTGTTTACAGCTGGGTTTCACTGCATACTCAGGGGTGCTTCTATCCCAATCTTAAAAAGTCATCATTCCACTTTTTAATATATATAAATGGACATTTTCACAAGTTCTTTTATATTTTATTGGGGTACAAGATCTAAATGGATGAAGTTTTACAGTTCAGTACAAAAAATACAGAAAAAAAGCTTTTAAATCATTTTACACAATTAAATAGAAATATTTCTGGCCAAATACTTAGGAGACAACATGGATTTATTTCATCTTAAAACATATAAATATATATATACTAAAGAAGGAGACAGGGGCCCATTTTCCTGACTTTCTTGTGTCTTCACACCTGCTGCTTTCGGCAGGGGTAAAGGTGTCACGTTTGTACTTAACTGTTACAATTTTAGCAATAAAAACAACAACAACAAAATTACCTTGTGACGCTCATGATCAGTGGGCTATATGCAAGCATAATTAACCGCTTCCACATAATTAATCACAGCAGGATTGTAATGCGCTCGTACTGCGGAGAAATAAAACGTTACATAATAGATTGTAAAGTTTGGCCGTGTGAAGCAAAGCCCTGAAAACAAGGAGGATGCTGCAAAAGCGATCGAGCCTTCATTCCTCGGCTGCTGAAGCAAGAAGCTCGCTGGCGTGACCGATCTAACACAAGTGACACCGAGCTCTAGAAGCCGAACGAGAGCCCTGACCAAGAGAGAGTTTAATCTCTTCCAAATGTAGGAGTATGAGATGGAAAAAGCGGCAGAGCTGGGAGGTGTGCTGAGGTGTGGCGCAGAGTGCTGACATGTCCCAACTGGGCCAATTACCACGGTGAGGCTACAGCGTTCGATTTAGCCGCAGAGCAGACTAAGATGGAGAGCCGTCACCGCAACTCCACTTCATTACAGGCACCCAGACCTGTCGCTGCCCGTTGGCATTTGGAGATAATAGCATGAAGGGCGCAAAATGTATGCCTAGTAAATCATGCCATTTTCCAGCTGTTTGCTTGGGGAATGAGATGAGCGCAGAATTAATCGCTGAGCAATGAAGGCATGGCTGAATTGTGACAAATTAATACCACCGCAGTCATCAAAATATGGCTCTTACTCCACATTACAGCCATTAGCAGTGATGACCAAATTCAGCGGGCCCCGGCTGAATATTACCCCCTGTCCCTGAGTTAAGATATATGTGAGGCAATGCAAATTGTGATTGGCTCCCAGGGCAGAGAGGCCTTGCCAGTATTTGAAATGCTGCCAGTTCACAACAGCTTGGACCGGATCTTAGGATTCAAAAATTATACCAACCGCTGTGCCAGACTGGCCAGAGCCAAGCACTCATAGCCTGGAACTTCCCAAAACAAAATCCAAAGTTTGATTTTGTGTATTAAAAAAAAAAAACAACAACTTTAAAGAATTTTTCAATTTGTGAGGTCCAACTTTTTCAGCAAGAAGAGTCACAGTTAATTTCACACCTACTTAAATACTTAGGCTGAATGCATCAGAAGGAAATGGTTTAGAACTAAAGCTTTTAACTGTGGTAATGATTTGTTTTAAATGAGGCCAAAAATGGACATGCAGGGGCTGTTAGAAACATTTCTCTCTACGCTTAATGATGGCTTACGGACGCAACAGAGCAGGTAATGTGTTATATAAATGTATACTAAACAGTGAGTGAACATAAGTGAGTATAATTACACAGATGCTTTTCTTATGTACAATTAACATACCTATTACCTACTACTTTTCCCCTGCTACATTTAGCTCATGACTTATGATCACGCATGTTTTAGTATGATCATGTTTCCCCCCATATTGCATTTTGCAGTATTATATACTTTTTATAATTCGTATATATGAGGCTAGTCACAGAGATTGGTAACTCCTGGTCACTAGAGAAAAGTGTGCATTCCCTGAAGAACTGCTGAGTGGTTGATGACTCTCCAGTATTTAAATTAAACTCCCACACATGCAGGCCAAAAGAGAAGCTAGTGACCCCTTTACAACCTCCGGTTGCTAGGGAAAAATGTGTATTCCCCAACCAGTTGCCATGTGGTTGCACTAGGTTGCTTTTAGTACTAGAAAAAATTGGTTGCATAGAGGTCAACGGTCCTGTAATGAAAACCTTCTTGCGACTGCCTTGTTTGCACGTATGATGGTCGTGATTGCTCATAGCTCGGGCAAACTTTAGCTGCTATGGTAACTTGATTACGAGTTTGACTACAATTTTTACTAGTTTGATTGGAGGCAAACTGGTATCTACTATAAAAGGGTGTCCGAAGCAATCTGCTAACAACCAAGGCAGCTGCAAGGAGATTTTTGGTGGATCACCTCCAGCAACCGATTATTATCCTGCCACACGTAGAAACCTCCACTTGCCAACCGGTCAGGGATTACCTGGGGTTGCCACCTCCTGACAACTCTAGGTGAGAAAAATATGCATTCCCCAGTCAGCTCCCATGTGGTTGATCTTGGTCGCTGCCAGTCGCTAAATGAAATCGATTGCATAGAGATATGTGGTTCTGTATTGAAGACCTTCTAGCGATTGCTTTGGATGATGCTCTACACCCAGCAACCTATAGCAACTACTCTCCAACATTTTAGTGAATATACTCCTTTCCATGGGGGTTGTCAGCAGCTAGTTGTAGCAAATTATTTATTTACAGCAATGTTTTCAATAAACACCTGGAAAACAAGGTATATTTCTATGGAATTCAATTACATTATCTGCACATGAGCTTATACAAACAAGAAACTAAACTCAAGACTACTTGGAGCTGTTGGAGTCCTCAGCATGTCAGCTTTTTAACCTGCTCTTAAGAGCGAGTGAGCACGTCAGTCAGAGTATATCTGCCCTGTCATTTAGTCTCTTTCACACTTCACAGGTCCCCCACAGTCAAAACAATCTCCCTTTGTATCATGCAAAGCACAGCCAGACTGCTTACACCACCAGTTCTCGCCCCCCCCCTCTCTGCACTCCCCGAGGTCTCTCTGCTCACCATAGCGAAGCTTTCGCTGCTTCACCTTTCACCTCACATTACCACACTTTCCCCGCAGTGCGTGCTGTGTATTGTTAACTTTGGCATCTTCGGCATGGACGACTAAAGATGCCCTCCTTCCCTCCCATGTCCCTCTGTTCTCTGGTTTCATCTTCCTCCCGTGAAGCAACAACACGATCATAAAAGAGAAAGTGATCAGATGCAAAACTCTGATGACAGGGGGCTCCGCTTGGCAACACGTTCCCTTCACTTGCACTGAAAATCAATCAGCCCTCGGTGTGCCTGACATCTGGTAAACTCATCTGGATGTCTATTGGTTCGAATTCCTCTCGCCATATGTTGTGCGCTACGTTAAACAAAACACTCATTTTTACGTCCTGATGCTGACAGTCTGAGATGAGGTAATCCACATCCATCGTAAACATGGCAGAAATCATAATTATTTGGAGTCTGCCTTTCGCTGTGAAACGCATCAGTGTGCACCCGAATGAATGGCAGGTGATCGTCTACAGAAGTCTGAATTCCCGTGGTTATCCGATTCATCTTACTCTTCTTCACTCCTGAAGCAAAAATCCATCATCTTCTCTCCTTTTATTGCACCAAGGTAAACTAGATCAAAGCGGCGCTTGAGCTGCAAAGTTTTATCGCCCTCCTCTTTTCCTTTTTGTTCACTCATTTTCCACAGATGACATCCTGCATCTGTTTCCCTCCAATGGTGTCCTTTCTTGGCTGCCGAGTTTTAAAAACCACAGTGCCCATAAAATGAGAAGTTATCAAAGTTTCTCTGCACCGAACAGCAATAAATTGGCAGTGACATTTTCAGTACATGGCTTCTGGTCTGCTGCCGGTTTATCGGTTACATTTTGTTTTTATACCTAACTCTGTATAAGCACCTCTGGTGTATAATACATCACAGCATTTTGCCCTCAGATACTGCGTTTCAGTTTCTTTGGCAACTCCAAGGAGAATCTTTATTGTTCCCCACTAGTGTGAGAAGCTAAATCAACATTTCCCCCCCCAAAAAATAGCTCATTTCTATCCATAATTGATTTGTTTCTGAAATGTTTTACAACTTATGAAGAGTAAAGAGGTCCAAATTTTGCCCAGAGGTCATCCAATACAAATGAGGCTGTGACCTATTTTCATAAATGCTCCTTAAAGAAAATAATAAGAGCGAAGGCAGCATGGCAAGCATAATGTGTTTCTGGATATGATGTCAGTGTGCTAATACAAAGCAAAGAAACTCTTCCCGAAAACAAAAGCTTTTTGGACAGAAACATGAATCTATTAGTTTAGTTCTGAACAATCTGCCCAGCAGAGCTTCGCTCTGCCTTTTGTTGAATATGAATCTCAACTTGACAAGCTGTCTTGAAGATAAATGGTACCAAATTAATGCAGAAACCATCCAACCAGAAAATGTAGCATCAGCGTAGCATAGCAATTAAGTCCACATTAAATACAAAGGACACATCAAGTGCCAGGATGACTGCTTATGTGCAGCCTTGACTACAGTACAACTGATGACCCTTGACCCCAGCTGTTTCTACTGAACATTACAGTTCTCCTCAGATGGCTAACGTTAACTTTTTTTTTACTGTTTTCTGGCCACCGACAGCCTCTCTGTTGGTTCCCTGTGCAGCGTCCAAGACATAAACAAAAGAGAACAAAAACTCAGAGGATTTCACATACCTTCTCTCCCGGTTCACCTTTCAGTCCCTCCTCACCCAAATCACCCTGCAATGACATCACAGAAACCTGTTCAGTCTCTTGGACGCAGGAATGAGTCAGTGCTGACAGTACATGACATGAAACATGATTGCTTTAACAAGCTTAGCACACAGTAGGACAAGCTTCTTCTTCTTCTGTGATTGCACTGGAGCAAAGCTGCTGCTTTATCTTCACTTTGATCACTTAGCCGTCAAATGAAATTCAAATATAAATGTAATATTTAGGTGATGCCCTGTTACGAAGCTCCTAAGCTCACTGCATTGAGAGCTGTGATAAACTTCACTTCTTAACTCCCAACTTTTGCAATATTTGCTGTACGGCCGGGATCATAGCTCGTCCCATCCACGATATGACTCGGTGGAAGCCATTTGACTGGTAGTTTTCTTTATAAGGAGAATGTCTCGTTGTTGGAATAACCTTCAAATGAGTAAGTCTGGTGAGCCAGCTTTTTTTCTACACCCCCAAGAGGCTGTCATGTCTCAAATGCACACTCTACGCGCATTCCCAGGCTCTCAGTTGTACTTTGTTTTTCCCTGTTAAATAGCAACAGTTAGCATACGATACCAAGCTGGTAAATCTATCTGCTCAGCATCAGCATGTCAGCACGCTGGTTAGAACTTAACTCAAAGCACGCAGACTCACAGACTCTGTAAAATGTTGCTACACTCTTGTTTTATCAGTGGATTTCGTATCACAGCACGGCTATAAATCCCGACTGTGTAAATGTAGTGAAACATGACATGTTTCATCAAATGAAATTAAATGGGGAAACACAATGATTTGCAATCATGAATGTCTTTGTAAGTTATCCCTGTTGTGATGTCAAAATATATACATATATTTAAAAAAACTGCAACAAGCTTTCTACTTTCCCTTTTTATCTGTTAGAAGCCACTTTTTCTTTTTTAATTAGCTTGCTGACTAATTAATGAGGAAAAAAAAGCAAGTGTTTAATGTTAACATGTCTGACTCCTCTGAAAATAAAACCTCAGAGTACTTTGAGCCAAGCTGCCTGGCAGGGAAAAGGTGATTTCACTTTTAATAAATCCCCATGATTTTATATTAAGATTAGACCGCGAATCAAACAACGCCTTGCAGTTCCAAGGATATGAAATCAAAGGGTGTCTCATTGTGTTACGCTATTAAAAAAAAAAAAAGAACTTCAAGAAAACGAGATTATTTTAACAGCTTCAATGCTTCAAACTGCTGTTTACTTTTCCATTTAGGAATTTATCATAAGTTGAATCGACAAAGCCAAAAAGTGCAGTTTTTGCTAGCAGCGCTGGCCTGCCACATGGCATCTCTTCCAAACCCGAAGGTCAGGACCCCATTAGTGCTCTGACAAGTCTCAGGATGATTATATGACTGGAAATGATAAAAAAAAATTAAATCTGCAGAACAAATTGTTTATTTTGTCAGAATTTTCTTAATTAACTGGACGTGGTTTCCTCTTTACCCTCCTGCAACCTGATGAAATGATCTGAAAAAGGTGCATCTCTCTTCTGGAAAACTGGTCACAATGTTTAAGACGTGGAAATTGTGGCAAAGCCAAGCGGCCAGGAGTCGACAAAGCACAGAACCAGGTTCATACTAACACGAACTGACACACTGGATGCTCGTGTTCTTTTTCAATCCATTGTGTTAAAAAAATATTTGCACTTTGACCTTTTTTTGTGCATCGCGGTAAAGGATACACACGATGCTGTGAACTGGGATTGCTAGGAGATGCTGTCACATCTTTACAGCAAGCCAGGTGTGTTAGTGACAGAGACACTGTCTCTGATTCAGCTCAGAACTGATCCAGCTGACAACGACTGCCCGAGGGCCAGTTTTGCGGTCGATGAAGCACACACGATAAGTCATCACTTAACTCTCCAGCCCGCTGCACTGTCATCCCGGTCAGTGTTTCACACCTCCCACCCCGCTGCCGTCCAACAACAGCAAATAAGGGCACCATTACAATTACAGAACAGAGGGAATAAAGCTGCCGTTCCTCTGTGGAGCTGTTTTATGGGTCTGTTCTTAGGTTTACTTCACGGCCTGGAGTCGGTGAAGCTGGGTGCAGTTTTTGTGACTCACTAAATCACTGACTCACTGGTGGCTAAGTTACAGAAGGGAGGCAACTTAAAAAAAAAACAACAAAAAACTAGCTGGAGCTGGGAGATGTAAAGGCAGAGCTGCAGTCGTGGTGATGAGATAACAGACTGACGCTAGCAATAATGTCCGAAGATCCAAATTAGCGCCTTACCTTTTCACCTCGTTCTCCCATTTCACCCTGTTAGGAAGGAAAGCAGAGCAGCAGAGATAAAAAAAATGAGGGTTTGGGGGGGTTATTGCACACACTCAGGGTCAGATTGTATCTGGGGTTAAATTCATGTTTGATTATAAATGTTATGACTGCTTTTTTTCCCCAGACAGACCCTGACATGAACTTTTTTGTTTTTTAAATTTAAAATCGCTCTTGCATTATCATTGCAGCATATTTTTATACCATGCATTAAAGTCTTCATGGAGGATATATATTTTCTGTTACATCAAAGACGAATACATGTATATGCATGTTTTTCAAAACCATGAAAAAGAAATCACAAAGGGACAAAACGGCTGATGGTCAAAAGGTAAGATGAAAAATGACTGAAAGGGGGAGATGCTTCTGTGAGAGGATAAGGGAAGTATTGCAAATGACTTTAACCCTCTGGAGTCAAGGGACATCTCCAAATCACATGACTGAATTAAGATGACCCTGCAGCAAGACGCAGCCTCACGGAGTCTCTGTTTCAGTTTGTATTAAAAGTGTGAACTATATACTAACAGTGCAGTTACATGGAAGGTTTCTGATGTGATAATGATATTGTTAAGCTATGTAAAATAATCCATATATCAGCAAAAGTGTTCACATTGAGTCTTATATTTTAGATCATCTCAACAGATATTTGGGATTCAGGATTTTGTTTTAGTTTGATATTGCAAAGTTTGCTGGCAATGGTTGCTGCTGCTCTCACAAAGTGCAGGGTGGGATAACATGACTTTGACCTCAGAGGGTTAACCCAAAAAAAGGGGGAAAAAAGCGACTGCTATGACTTCACAAGAATATGAGCACACAGAATATGTGTGCACCCCGACCTTGGCTCCTGGAACACCGTCCAGTCCTGGGATGCCAACATCCCCCTACGGACAGCACAAGATACACACAGTGACTGACTCAGTGTGCTGCGTAAGCAGTTCGACTAAAGATTCAAGGTCAGGAGATATGACCCCGACACTCCCCACCCCACAAAAAGCAAACAAAACAAAAGAAAATGCATATTTTTCTTCTTAAAATTGAGATAACAATTGACTCAGACACAAGAGTGAGTGTATGGTGCAAAGGGCTTTTGCAGGACGAGACAGGTGAGATACAGCTACACTGACAGAACTGCTGTAAGGAGCGTAAATGTACAGCTACAGCACTATGAATTCTATAACATTCCCCAAAAGTTCACATGTATCAAATATTGAAACCACAAAGTGAATGTGAAAGACGAGAGGATAAACAAGCTGATTAAAAGCTTAATTATCTGGTTTGGTTCTGTGTATGTGCAGAAGAAGAAAAGCCAAGCCCGTCTGACGGATGCCAGTTTGCCGTTAGCCTCGATCCCTTGTCTCCGCGGCTCCCTAGCTGAAAAACCAACCTCTGTCCATCTGCTGCCAGAAACAATTAACCTCCTGACCTTTGCAAACATACCACGTCATTACCCTTTCAGAGGAGCAGTAGCTATTCCTCAGCCCAGACAGACAGCTTTAACCAGATGAAGCTGATTAATGTAGCCAGAGTGGAAAAATAACGCAGTGCATTACTTGGATTAAAATACATGTCACCAGGCAGCTCGGTACTGGCCATATTCGAAGGAAAACTGTGTTACTGGATGTCATTTTTAATATATCTTAATGCTATTTTCACTTTTCCCCAAAATGCTTCATGCTCATGGGAAACTCGGTGTGTCTGATCCGTGCTGGGCGTGTCCCTGCAGCTACACACTCGTGGTGATGTTCGTCATAAACGCCGAAGCCTCGGATCATTCGTCAGCCGCATATGGAAGTCATTGACATAATAATGACACCCTATTGACATAATGATGATAGAGTCTGATTAGGAACTCCAAAGGTTGGCTTGATAAGGTGGCATTAGTGATTCTGCTGGGATATCCATGTCAAATCAATACCGTGTCTGTGCGAGTGGACCCGCCACTGCCACCTGAGCACCTTTAACTGCTTTTGAGTCAAACTTTCTGCAAGAGTGAGACTTACATACCATAACAGGTTCTGCTTTATAACTGCACTGAACAGCATTGGAGATCTATTTCATGGCTGCTACAAAACCTCACTCCTTTCATTTTGGAAACAGAATCAGCCTCCACTGTAGCCAGAGTTAGCATGGATTTTACTTTAAAATGAAACTTCTTCACTCTGGTTCCTATTACAGCCATACGTGCCTCTCCTTTCTTTATAAGTGCATGTTTGAGATTAGAGCGATGCAACCCTCAAACTGCCTCCCCATTCATTCTCTTCACTTATACCATCGTTTGTTCTGGAATAAATATGCTTTTCCATCTCTTTTTTCTCCTTCCCTCCGCCCATTGTGAAACACCTGCACTGCGTCTTCTTTATCCGCTCCGAGAATGAATAGCAGACATGAGCCGAGTGTGTGAACAGATTCAGAGGCAGCCAGAACGGTACTTTGTGGTTAAGGCTTGAAGAAGAAGCCCACGGGTTTTCTCCCAAAACGAAATAGTGGTTTGAAACTGTCAGAACTTTTTTTTTTCTTATATAAAAAACTAAAACACATGGGGAGAAAGATTAACAAAAGATTAATGCTCAAGTGAGCCTTTTCATGATAAAATACTATCAGGTGCGCAGATGGATGAACTTTGTGTGCATATTTTTATTTTAGGGACATGTAAAAAGTCTTGAGGGACAATAATGCTGCCTAGTAGTGGTGTTTTTTTCCTCTTGCAAAAGTACATTCACTAATAAAAACAACAGCAAGTCAGCAAGAACTAGTTAAAAGCCCAGAAGTGTAGAGCTTTACAAGAATTCAGTGTAAATGAGTTTGCTCACCTTCAGTCCATCAACACCGGGGATGCCAGGAGGCCCGAGTGAACCCTGGGAAATAAAAGCAAAGTTTGTTGGGTTTTTTGCATCATTACATTCGACCATCTCGCTGCTCGTACCGTCACGGCCGGCTCAACGGTTGTAAATAAACACCGGCGGCGTATCCGTTCTGTCTGCCGCTGATCAGGGCGTGCTCTGATGTTACTGCGCCAGACCAGCATAAATACTGCATGTCATATTTTATTATCTGCTCTGTTATGGACAATACAGCCAGAAGGCAAGACTGAGGACACTCCTGCTGCACTTCAAACTGAAAATGTACTGCCCTGTGAAATAAAGAAATGTTTCGCACAGCAGATGTACTCGAGATTTTACCGCATCTACTGCGTCAGCTTAGTAAAAGTTGGTTTAGACTCTGAGGGCCAAGCGTGTTTTAATGAACGCCCGCTCTCTGTTCTTCGCGGTTTGCTTATGTTGGCTTTTTGCACCGCTTTCATAATAAAAGCCATTTACAGTTACCGGTCGTATTTAAAGATGTATCAGAGATGTTTGAGAGATGTGAGATACAGTCGCAGGAAAGCATCGTGTCGAGGGTTGAAAACCGTTCACGCTGGACTTTTTCGTCATGCGGTGGCACCGAATCAGTCACCGAGCTGATGAAACTTGAATAACCCTCGACGCGGCCCCTCTACTAAACACAGCGCTCCACTAGCAGCAGATCTAATTGAGTAGCCTCCGGGCCTGGCTTATGAGTCATTAACACTGTGGTGTGTCATCATTGACCCTCCACACACACACACTCCCTCTCCCACGCCGACGGGAGGCCTTGCCGACAGATGACAGTGCAGACAGGAAGTGTCTGATTGGGTTACACTGAACAAACACTGGCAGCTACCTGATGGCTGGATATAGCTTACATCTGTTCCTCACATCAGCGCCAGCAGGGACCCGCAGCCTGTATCACAGCACTTAGCTCCAGGCTCTCTGTTCTCCATCTCTCTCCTTCTCTGTCACCCTTTTTCCCCCACTTCTCCTGTTTATTCACCATGACTGCGCAGTGTCTGTCGCTAATATGCAGGTAAACATACTCATCAAACAACACGTTTACAACCGTTTGTGCAACGAGAGCTGCTGTGAAATGAAAAACAGTTCGGTTTAGATCAGAATTCAACAGAGGGACAAAAAAAAAAGTTTCCTTTGTACTTTTATGTCACAACCAAGTCAGCGAATCTCATTTAGTTTTCTTTAAGAAAAGCAAGAAATGCCAGCAAGAAGAAAGAAATGATTTTCTGTAACTTACCTTCGGCCCTTGCGGCCCCTCAGGTCCCTATAAATGAGAAGAGAGACGGAGAGAGATTGAGTGCAGGAGAAACGCAGCAAAAATAGTTCATGTGAGATGAAATAATACAATTACCAGAGCCAACATGGTCAGAGCAGAGAGACTGGCAGAGCTTGTGGTAGGATTTCATGCAGCGCGCACACACCCTTCAGGAAGAACCCGAATCACAATCAATCCCTTGTTTTATTCTCCAGCAAAGAATGAAAATCCGCTCACTCCCTGCCTTCTTTTCGCTGAAGTGACCCATAAACAGGAATCTTTAATAAGCTCATGAATAACAAAAGCTTTTATGGTTTTATCTTTTATGTTGATCTGTCTTTACTCGTTTTAGTGACTGTAAAAACTTGTCTCGTTTGGCCGCGCTACATTCCGAGTCAACGGTCCAACACATAGAGAGGTTCATTACCTAAATGGGCCAATATCTGGAAAGCTTTGCAAAGCTAACAAGTTAGCCAAGGGGGGGAAAAAGGCGCCACATCTCTAAGGCAGATTTAAATCATGGATCGATGTGTCTGGGAGGACAGTTTCTATTTACAACCTGCTGTTTACTGCAGTGAAACTGGAGGCAGCGTTGGGCTGTCGGCCTCCTCCGCTGGAAGCTGCCTAAAACAACACGACCGCATCGTGAAGAAACTGGGAAGCCTGGGTGAAAGTTAGCTCCTTCCTTGTTTCTCAAAGACTTTGAGCTATCGCACCAGCGCGGCAGTTCATCAACACCTTTACGCCTGGCTGTTATGACACCTCACGTTGGCCGGCTTCTTTCTCACTTTCGGCCATTTGGCTCGTCGCTCGCAGCTGAGTCAAGGCCAGGCAGACCTTGTGCCCCGCAGGCTCTCTACAGCAGCAACTATTCCTCGCTTTGCTCACGTCGATGTATAACTGGCAAAGCTCAAGATACGCTCCCCTGATGTGTGTAAAACGTTTGTGTGAGAGTGTTAAAAAGAAGCCAACGAGGACACGTTCGGGTTGAAAAGTTAAGACTGTCAGTGCAAATTTGCCTGAAGAAGAAGCCCGGTTTGATATCGGCCTACTTGTGACTTCACGGCGATTAAATTCTGCGAATAAGCTGATTGTTGGATCGGTTTTAGTATTTGTTGTTAAAACGGGCTATCACCAAGTAACTGTACCTCAAAACTTCCCTCTCCCAATTTCCATTTTTCCCCAAAATTGGCCCGTTAAAATCCCTGTAGCAACAAGTTCTCACATTTTCAGAAATGGCCCACACAGTTGCAGCTCATTTATGGTGCATTCCTTGTGCACTTACAGCAAAAACCTCAATGAACAACTTTCATTATCCTAGCCAACCAAGAAAAAGGTTTTCCTCCCATTTGCCTTTAAAAGCCTTTGTTAGCTGTCCTCAGTAGGGTTTAGTAAACATCTTTATGACCCACTAGGTATGTGAGAGCATGTGCCGCTCGCCTGAGCGCTAATTAGCTTGGCTACATCTGAGAACACTCAGAAGCTACTGCTGAAAAGGAGTTTTTTTGTTTGTTTTTTTAAAAGAAAGTCAAGAGCGCTTAAGGAAGTCTTGGCTCTTTGTTTCTCAACCCTGGATCCTGACTTTGGTGAAAAATGAAAAGGGAAGAACAATCCAAAGATCTTTGTGAAAAAGGATTATTATTCCATCTGAAAGTGTTCATCACGATAGCAGATGTTCAGCATGTAGCGGCTTAGCTGCCTCATTTAGCATTCATAAAGGAAAGAAATTCCACAAATGTGCAATATCAACAGGCTGCCTATTGAAGTCGAGCATCCGAGCACAAATACAATGCGCTGAATGTTTGGTACTTTCATTCATGATTCGGACGTTGCGAACAATGAAGCCATTCCCAGGTCAATTCCCACACTCAATCAGCAGCACTTGAACCTTTGAAAGTTGAAGGACTTCCAGAATGTGTGGCATTCACATAAAAAATATTCGTCTGATCATAGAACAGAAAGGCTCCACATTCAAGCTTGTTCTGTTCAAGGCTTTTGTGTCAGTTATACTGTGAGTTTTCAACTATTATAAACTATTTAAACTTTTAAACAAATGTATTTTTTTCTCTTTTTTGCCTTAAGTTGTAGCTATATGTGCTTATTGCGGAGGCATGCTTTATTCAAACTGTTCACATAACATTTTCTAAGAGTTTTCAATCACTCTTTATTGCTCCTGCCACTATAAACAAAAGCACTGTAGCCTGGTAAGGCAATAATGCAGAATGGCTTAAGTTAAACCATTCAAACCTTCACCTGTCATGGCTGCGCTGAGATTAGGCTGTTTTAAAGACATCTGATAGCAGACTGCTTTCTAAACTACAGTATGGATGTGGCCTTAGCTATCAGTGGGGATGTGAAGGCCACTTCTTTCTCTATTTAGAGGATCTAGGCTCAGATAACACTGGATGTATTGCCCAAACATGGCCCATATTAACAGTTGTGTATAGGTCTCTTTTGGCCTGTACTGATAATGTTGATTCATGGTGAGAATGGCTGCTTCAGCTCAGCCACAGGCGGACACAATAGAGGGGCCAGATGTCAGATGTGCTGTGACATTTGGGCCACATTTGGTGCACTCATGTCAAAAGTAGCTCGTAACTTCAGGGCCACGTCTGACCCCACAGTATACTTGGAGTGCCGTAACTGAGCCGTAATTTCCAATTACGCCTGAATGTGCCTGCTATGTGGGCAGATGCTCACTGACATTCAGGTGATTTTAGATTATATACATATATTACAGATGTCACATTTTCATGCTGGCTCTGATCTGTAATATCTCCACAACAATTACACACCTTGCAGTATGGATGAGTTTTGTAAGTCACACGTGTAGCTTACAGAAGATTCACAGGATTTGATTAAAATATCCGTTATTTTCACGAAACATCTGCACTTTGATTTAAAGTTATATGCTTTACGTGGTAGTCGGGTCAAAGAGAAGAAAAGAGAGGCTTTGTAATGGATTTTGTTACTAGCTACATTCCAGCTGTAGTCCCCGCAGGTAAATGTGATCCAGTGACCTCAGCATTTTAAACATTCTGGCTATGGTCCTGTCTGCGGGCTCATTTATCAATCCATCCATCCATTTCCTTAACTACTTAACCATACAGGGTGGGGCCTATCCCCAGCTGCCACTGGGCGAGAGGCAGGGTACACATGGAGAAGTTGCCAGTACATCACAGGGCTAACAGGGAGAGACAAACAGCCATTCACATCCTCACCTATGGCCAATTTAGAATCTGTAATTAACCTCACGTACATGACTTCGCACCGTGGGACGAAACCGCATGCCAGACAAAACCCCCGAGTGTAGGTGTGCTTTGTTTTAACAACATAATAAGACCCAAGGCTGTAAAAATAGGAATTTGCCTTTAAGAACAAACAGATTTGTTCCACTAAAATGGTTTTGTCCACATTTCCCACAACATTGTTTGATTTCCCCGACCATGTCATAAGCTATTCGCTCACATCTTTGCTCCTCATGTTTGGCTTTACAGCAAAGGAAAACTCAGTCAAGGTCAATAAAATATCAGAGGTATGTCTTCATTGAACAGGCTTTTGAGGCACGAATGTGTCCCTACATTCATGCCTGTGGAGTTTTTTTTCATTCATTGTCCAAGGTGAGCTACTGGTGCATTGTGGGTAGCTTTGGAATGAATAGGATGCAAAAGGGGATCAGTGAAAGTCTGCTGCATAATTGGAAATTACACCAAAAAGCAGATGGAAGAGGCTTCTCTCAGCTTTGGATGGAACATATTTGGACTTTTTGTTCTGAACAAGCTGAGCTCCAGATGAATGCTGAGTGTGGGGCTGCAAGCCACCTTTGGAGAGCTGAAGACCCCCTTAATTTACCACAGAGAGACCTCGTGGCGCTGATGATTTTGAACTTAGTCCTGAAAATATTTCCTTTTCTTCTTCTTCTTGTTCTTCTTCTTTCCACCTCCCCCCACCACCACCTCCTCCTTGTTTCTCCACAAGAGCTTAATCCTTCTAACCAGCACCACATGTCCTGGAAGGCTGCTGGAAAACTCTGGAATCTACTTTTGCCCCTTTAACAATAGCATCTACATAAAAAAAAAACTCTGAGCTGTGTCAAGTGGGCGCTAGCGCCGAGAGCGCTGCAAAAGAAGCAAAAGTCGGTCGAGCGGTGACCTCAGAATCCCTGCCTCCGGCTCACTTGTGGAGATCGAGATGTGCCAATCACAGATTATTCTTTCAGCTGGCTGCACAAAGTGGAGACTTGTTGCTTATGCATCTAATTCATATTGATTTGCACAGGCCAACCAAGGGCGGGGACTGGCGGGATTTTTTTTTTCTTCTCTTAGATGGGAAAATGTCTTTTTATTTCTTCTCCAGAGGTTTATCAGCTACAGAAACTCTTCTCTTTAATCCAGTATCTTATCTTTGCTCTTTTTTACCAGGGAGCAGCAAACATTGTCGTTGCATGAAATCACAGGCCGCAAACGCAGTAACTGTGCTGTCACATGTTTTTACAACTGCTGGGACATGCTCATCTCACGCTGCTTTATAGGGCGATGACTTTACTCCTTGTTAAAAGTACATTAGTGTCACGCTGTGCATATACTTGTGAAAGAGGATGCTTCATTTCAGCAGTTACAGTAAGCAGTCCTTAATTCACGTTCAGACGGGTTGAGAGTCTCTGTTCATTGGTCATCGGAGGTTGTGCAAACACTAGGCTTATGTGAGCGCACCTGGGAACATCCATCGCAAAGTGTACATTCATCACAGAGTGGATTTTCAAACCGAACGTTGCTGCTTACACAGCTACCCGCCCAAAGTGGGATAAAACACGAAGCCAACAAAAGCAACAGTAACTTAAAAAGCAGAAAGAGGGAGGGAACTTTACTTTAGAGGATCGCCCATTAAGTCGTCTAAGATTGATTAGCACCTTTGGATCCTTTACCTAATGCGTCTTTTTCGCTCTAGCCTCAATTATTTCCTCTGTCCATTTCTCCCCAGCCCACCAAATTTTTCCACAGGGGAAAAGGTCAAGGGGAGCTGGAGTCAGAGATGAAAGCACTTGATAATACCTCTTCTGTCAGCTTCACTTCCCTTCACTCCCCGCATCCACTGATGTGACATCGAGTGTTTTTTGTATCACGTTTTCCATCCTTGCTCTCCCTGGAATTTGGTTTGACCTATTCGTTGTAGCTTTTATGAGGAAACTTTAATCAAGTGCTTTATTTGCTGAACACCGCAAGAGTGGTATCCAGTTGCCATCAACTGGAGCAGCGACTCGTCCATGCGGCACAAAGGGTTTGTGAGGGAAAACAAACTTTTCCTTAACAAGTTAGCATAAAACGTGTCATTCGCTGTCATATCGATGAACCATCTCACAAATATCTCACGAAAAATATATACACTGTCAGTCAAATGGTGCCATTAGAACAACAGAGCCCGCTTTGAGAAGTCTTACATATGAAGCATATTTGGCTCTGATTAAACCTACTTGCTACATAATTTCTTCTTTTTTTTTTCATAGTTTTGATGTTTTCAGTAGAAATTGACACAAAAAAAAGGCTTTTCCAGCCTTTTGAGTACAATGGATAAAAAACATAAAATGAAAACTTAAGTTTATAATTAAATAAATACATAAAATACATCAGCCCGTCCAAAGCTTGAGAAATTTTGGAAAATTACCTTGGCATTGACAGTTCTGCACATAATATCATAAATAAGACACTAATTCAACTTGGGGTCTGGCTTAACTGGAAAACCAGAGAAAAGAGTCTCCATCCATTTAGATAATTCCAGGAAGGAAATATACACAAAGGACTCCCCTGTACACTCCGACTTCTGCATGCATTTAACTCAGAATGTCTATAACATGTCAATTAGTGAGCATTAAAGCATTTTTCAGGCCAATTTCCTCACATTTGGAGAGGCCAAATCTGGCAGTCCTGCTCCATTTGCAATCTTCACGCTAAGCTAAGTGACTGCTAGCAATAATTTCATATTTATGAAAAGTCACGCAAGCGATCATTCTTTTCATCTAAGTCTTAATATGTCCATTTCTCAAAATGTCAAACTACCCAGAAAAACCCTGGACTCGTATCGCCTACATTTTGTTAAACAATTCTGCAAGGCTACGTTGTTAATTAGCGTGTCAGGGCAGCCACAGAAGGGGATGTTCGAAACAAAGTTTGGACTCACCAGGGGTCCCGTTTCCCCAGGCTGTCCTGGATCACCCTGTAAGAAACATAAAATCGTTAATGGAAGCAGAGCGTGTTATAATCGTACCTAAAACAAGTCTTGCGTTTAAAATGCTGCTTTTCTCCATATTATGTTCAAATTCCTTCTATTATAGTATCAAATAGCCAATATATGGTGCATAGCAGCCAGGCTGAAAGAGGAGCTTGCCATTGTGCCCATACACCAAGTAGGCTGAGAGGCACTTATCCAGCTGTGCCACCTGCACTGTATGTTTCCAGAAACCTTGTTCTTGTTTCGACTTTTGGTTCATGTCTATCGCACCGATGTTCCAACAGTTCGTGGTGTAGCAGAAAACTGTAGGAACATGCCAAAGCGATGTTTGTACATATTTGATTGGTACGTCTTTGCGGGACGATTTTTGCGACGCTCCTCCTGAGCTATTCATGAAAGGAGACCTAAATCACAAGAGCAATAAAGCGGCCTCGCAAAAGAAAACCAATTTCTTGGGAAAACGCAACAACTACTGCCACTGGAAGAATTGCAAATCAAACCTAAAAACTTGGAAAGAACCAGATAAACAACACTTAATATTTTCGCACTCCTACTGTGATCTCTGCCAAGACAATAAAGATCTGGATCCCTCAGAAGGTTTTATAGCTCAACATAATTGACAGGCCTTTTCTGTTTCTTCTTTCTCTCACAGGCAGAGTTCACATAAATTAGCGTGATGCCAATGACAGGCTTAAGAACATGGAAAATGTTACGTGGTAATGAAAAACAACCACGTGAATGTAAATCTATACAGTAAAACCTTCTCCTGGGAGCCTATTCATGTTTAGTTATATAGACGTGAGGGCGATGAATTGTAATGTAGCTTGTCTAGTATTTATTAGAAAGGTTTTCGTTGGAATAAACCCTCCCAGCAACAAGTCAAAATCATACTGAATAGAAGCACAAACAGAGCTGAACTTGTTTAAAACTTACTGGAAATGACAGAGTATTTATTACAGGATACGCTGACAGAATTTTGCTGATCCAAACAAATTTTAATGATACATAGAGTAGAAAAAAAACTAGTTGTATCAAACGTTCTCAGATGCCAAGCAACAATCAGTACTCACCGGTAGACCAGGCACACCTCTGGGCCCATCCTTGCCAGTGTCTCCTGGAGGCCCCCTCGGTCCAGGAGGGCCCGGTGGCCCCGGGGGCCCGGGTGGCCCTGCTTGCCCCTGATCTCCCTGTGTGGCGAAATAACACATTAAAGAATCATTATGGTGTGTTATTTTTGGACTGCTGAGACTGGAGCCACTACAGTGAAATGATAATTAAGAGAGAGTCGTGGAATGTTCTTGTGGGTGGCGATGGGCTGCCTCCATTTATAACATGACGAATGAGCTTTTTGGAGCTAGCATACAACTTAAGTTAGGAGGAGCTGCAACGTAATGATTTGTAGCTGAAATATTAATCCTTTAAAATGCATGCAATCCTACAGGGCCATAATGAGTTGAGTAAGGACGGTGCTTTAGGTAACGACTCCAAAAAAACAAAGAAGTCCCATTTGAAGTTGACAAGTATAGAGCTACAATAATCAGGGGAAATATACTGAAAATGTGTGGTCCATTATGATACTGCATTATAAGAAATTCTATGAAAATATTCTGCAACCTAAGTTGCAGGGAAAAACCTTTGAGTGGTGCCAGGACAGTAATTCATTTTACCTTAATAAAAGCTTTTTTTAAAATGAAGTTTCCATATTTTCCTTTAACAATAACAGAAGGAGCATGAGTGCTTATGACAGATCTGTCTGAAGGCTTGCATGCAAAGTGGCCAAAGAGAAGTGATTTGGTGAGACTTGGCACGGTGGACAGAGAGAGTGAGGACACACCCACTACCTTAATGAGCCGTCGCTTTATGAGCTGCTGGTCAGCGGAAAGAAAGCCATGATTGATCTTAGGGAAGACCATCTGAGCAGGTGTGTGAGGTCAAGAGGTCGTAGGTCAGAGGTGAGAGAAGGTTGAAGAAGGATGAAGTCCCAGAGGAGGAAGAAGAAGGAGGAGGAGGAAGGCAAATGCAAAAAGAAACAGATTCTGTTAGAAAGGCCTGTGTTCATGAACTCCGGTCCAGCACCTTCACAGATGGGGTGGTGGGAGAAATCCACACTTTTCCAGCACCGAGGTGGTTTGCTGAGGAAGTCTGGGCTTATTTTTTGGAGCCAGGGCCCATAATTATCACCTCTGGGGTGCGAGCGCGCCACAGCGAGTTCGCAGTCCCCTGGAAAAATGGGAATCACTCCTCCACTGTGAAAGTGCCGTCATCATCATCGTCGTGCCTGCTGCTGTGTCAGACCCTGAGAGCTGCGCACACTGAAACCAGCGAGGTCAAACCTTTGAGTTGAGGTTCATTTCTAATCTTTTTCCAGCACATGTCTGATTCTGCTTGTGTCCATTGGTATTTGGCAGTGAAACAATCCCCAAGGCCGTGCTAGAGGATCGGAGGATTTGTGGTGAACCATGAACTTGAGCTTTAAGAAAAAAAATGCCACTTTGCTTCATCACTGAGTATTCCTCTGGGAGTTCCTTCAATTCATTTTAGCATCAATGGACACAAGCCAAACCATCTCTGTGTTCAGGATGTTGCCTGTTTAGTCACCTACATATTACCAGGTTGTAACAGGCCAAGGCATTCACATGAGCTGCCTAGCATGTCGACTGGAGAACAAACCTCTTGAGCGAAAAAACTAGTAGCAGAAGTGTTGAGAAGAGGCTAATGGTTGACCTGCTGTGATTAATTAGATTGCACTTTTCCTGCATGCACTCTATCATCACTCCTTGAGAAAGGCAGCCAACAATTTACTTCCAGTGTGTGCTGCAAAGGGGTCGGACTGAGCAGCGAGGCAGCAGCACCACCGACAAACCTTGACAGTCAGGATCTGATTGCTGTGCAAAGCAGCCAGCGTAGGGAGACCAGGCAATCCCTGAAGGGACAAATAGCAGAACATGGCACAACACACGCATGATATTCAAACACTGGGTGAACAAAAACAGTTGAAGAAGGAAGGAGACAAGCATCCTGCTTCTAACTAGCCTCATAAATGTTTGAAATATAATATGTGGAATTCTTTGACATGTATATATGAGTTTTTAAGAGCCGTAAAAAGCCAACATCAAAGTTAACTGTCAAACAAAGACTTCTGAGGACCAGACATTTAAATTCAAAGCTAAACAAGACCAGGTATTTTATTTTAAACAGCTAACTTTGATACAGTCCAAGTTTACTTTCCTCAATAAAACTGTGTGTTCAATGGCACTGGGATCATCCTGTGTGGGCTGCAATGGCACAAGTAACCATTTCCTCTTGTTTTCTTCCAATTATACGTTTGTTGAAATAATATTCATACAATACACTTTGAGCTATAACATTGCTGGTAAATTGAGAAGTGGCATTGTTCGTTTAGCTTCAGGGAACACAAAGACACTCAAGATGTTTGATGGAAATTCAGTCAAATGGTTTCCAACTCCCTTGTCAACAAACTTCATGACAGATGTGATCCAAACATAAAAACTGGAGGGAAGAAGAAAACATCGGGCTTTCTCCTTGTTAAAAGATGACAATAGTTTACAGCTGCAAAGAAGAGCTTTTATCTGAATCCAGAAACGCTGACATTTTGTCAGCTAAACATGGTTGTCCAAATGCTACAGTCAAATAAATGCAGCCCATTAAATTTAATCACATTGATGGGTATATCAATAGGCTGACACATTTTTATTTCATTGCATTTTATTACATGCCTATCAAACTGCAGCAGATCATCTTTTACACTCAAAGTGTCATAAACTAGGCAGGCGCGCGTCTAGTTGACTAGACACTGAAATGCTGCTGCCCTTGCTAGCTGGTGGCAGAAATGCTAGTTAGCTAAATGATGCTATCAATTTACAGTGCTATAATGCTATCAACCTCGAAGGTTGAACTCAGGTTGATTTAACATCTAAATTCACCGGGGCATGGGGTGAACCAATGAACTCACATGAACTAGAATTGTTAGCATGTCTGGCTAACTGGCTAAAAAACCTAGCTTTAAACTAAGTTTGCTTTAATTGTTTATTTATTCTTTGACTGAATGTATATAACTACCCACGTAAATTTGCAGCGTTGCAGCTGTTGCTTACAGTTTACACTGTACAACTAGATTGTTGGATGTCCCAATTGTTTCTATAATATTTCAAGTCCTTTACTGCACTTGGGAGATGTTACCAAAAAAACAAGCATTAGCCAAAATGTAGCATTTGCCACACACATCGGATCCTGTTCTTCCTTAAAGCCTTTGATCTCCTATTACTCAAATGGAAAACATATGTTTTGAAATATGAGAAAGTTCATATGTCAAGAAGCCATGAACAATTATTTTTATGTTTAAAGCAGCTAAATGCTAAAGAGAGGATTGCTATATTAGGGGACTTCTAGCCTAGCTATGATATTATATAGGCAGAGATTAAGTATGTATTTAAGCCCAATTTTTAAAAATGTTTCTCTTTTTCATACTAAGTCAGCTGGATAATAACATGCTGGAGTCAGTAGTTTTAACCAGTTCTTGATCAATATGCCTCATTTGAGATTGTAGCAGTTGTTAGTTAAAAAATGAAAGCCTGCCTTTCTTATGCATTGTGTGACATGGAAGCCCTACTTTAAAAAATCAACTTGTACAAGGTGAGCTGGTGTATCACTGTAAACTAAAACTGCTGTGCAAACGGTGAAACCCTGAGAGGTCTTAGAAGGGGTAACTGAAAGGAGTGTGGTGCTGATATAAATAAGTTTTTCTTTAATAATAAAACTATAAAATGGCACCAAAAGATGACCACACACTGGTTGCACAATCGCTGCATATTCACTTGTTTATCCTCTTATCCTGCAGGTTTGCAATGTCAGAAATAACCAGCCTGAATGAAATGATGAAAACATATCTTAAAGACTGGCATAGTAGCATAAACATGGCCTGCAAGGGATCAATCTTTATAAATATTCAAGTTTAAGATAAAATCTGTCCTATCCAAACATGGCTTTTGTGCCGTCCCTCTGGATTTCTAAAGATAATTCAAAAAGCATGGCTCATTAAGAATATGGGTTTCAAGGCAGGCTAATTTAATTCAGGCCTGCAGCCGAGCACAGCAGTGGATACTCTTACACTGTATACAATAGCCACGCTGTGCATAACTGGAATTGAAGCGCAAGTATTTTTCAAGTTATTTACAACCTCAAATGTTATTTACAACTTCAAATGTCTCGAGGACAAAGAGGGAAAGCAAGCACTGGATTATGATCAGTGGGAATAGAGAATATAAAAAGTCAAGGCATGAAATGTAGTGTTGTTCATGTGCAGGCTGGCACATGCGACTGCTTTCTGGGATGTCTCTAGAGTCGTGAATTTAAACCGTACGGTCATTCTCAGACGCCAGCAGGGGACAAACGAAGAGAAAGTGGTGGCCATTCTGACAACAACCATGTCTAAAACACAATTCAGGCTTTCTGTGCAGGAGGTTAAAAGGCAGAGAAGCTTGGCTAGGTGTGGGTAAACTCTTACTCTTGCCTCCAAGCTGATGTCAATATGTGAGAATGATAATGACATGGTGGTTGACAGAGAATCCTAACCATTCGCAGACTGCCTTGTTTTGCTTTGCTAAACCGAAACGGATGTTGGTTATTTGGTAAGGAGCTTTGTTTCCATGTATTTGCCTGCAGCGAGGTGACTGGGATCTGTAGTAAACAATAAGCCGTATACGAGGCCAACAGGCATCCTCATTTATAGGACGCTGGCCAGATCCAGCATCTCCTCAACCACACCAAACACACAAATCATCCCAAGCGACTACAGGCTGTGGCATTTTCTGAATATCTATATATGGAGTGAATTACCAGCTCTGTACACAGATGGCTTTAATACATTTAAGTGTGTAATAACACATTCATCTGAAGCCTCAGATTTGGCATCAATCGGATACATCGAATTTATCTCGAGCGAAATTCATTTGAAGGCTTTTTTGATTTCATGCACAAATACACTGAAAGTAATTCTTTGTTCATGACTAAAAAGTCAAATCCTGGAAATTATATAATCGTGGCCTCTTTATTTTGGAAGAATATTGCACATCGGTCACATTTGGGCAGTTTATTGGGAATTTTTCAGATTTTTTTTCCCCCCTTCAGTGAACCCAGGAATTGTTCAACCTTTGCTTGACAGCTGTAGCTGGTGCCATCTCTCAAAAGGACCACACACCTTTCTCGGTGATATGCATAGCTACTAACTCCTGTTAATTGTATTTTAAAAGTGGAGTTCCAGAGCTGGCTGTGTATTTGTTTGTTAAAGCTGGCCGATTTATTATTTGCTGCTTGGTTAACCTCTGATGTTTGGAGATGACCTTTGACCTTCAGGGCAGACAAATGGCTGACTGTGATATGCGTGAAACAGGCAGAGGAAGTAGGCATCTGTGAGGGAATTCTCTCGGACACATGGCGAATCTCTTACCGTCTTTGGTCACAGAGGATCAGACTCTAAACTGATCCCCTGATGTTACAAGAAAACACACAAAAAAAAAATTATTTTAAGTTTAAATCTGTTTATATTTAAAGGGAATTTGCCAAACTGGTGCATACGGGACACTCTTCACATGTTCTCTTGTATACACGTATCTCCATATGGCTTTAATCAACTCCCTGCACGCAGTCAATACTGGGCATGAAATTGGCTTCACTTCCAGCCTGATAGATGGACTCAAGGTCAGGCAGTACTCGTCCTGTTATGCCTTCATTTATTAAGGAAAACCTTCTAATACTGCTACACTACATTTACCTACTAATCTAATGTGCAAAGTCAATATGCTGCTCTGGGAAGCTAATACAATTTAGCCGTGACCTGGACTGCTTTTATGCCCCTGCAGTCCGTCACATATGACTACAACACCGTGTTCATTTGTACCTGTTAGGGGACAGTTTTGCCATAACCGGGAGTTAATGAAACGCTTTCATGAAATGGACAGTTTGTTTATGTAGTCTCTAAGACAAATAGGACCTGTGAAAACTCCACCGGCCACACTGCTGTTTCCAAAACATAAATCATTTAACTGATAGTGACAGATGGCTCCACTTCCGAGGTTAAAAGGCTACAAATTAGGAGCAAAACCAAGAAATCCTATCCAAATGAGGACATTTTGTTCCACTAAAGACATTTCCTGTGAGTTTCAGTACTATGGCACTTGCAGCTATAATTATTATGAAATGTCTTTTATTTAACCAAAAACTAACTGAGGATATGACTATATTTTTCATCTCTTTTCTCTCTTTTTTTTGGTTTTTGTAGATATTGCAAAAATGGAAAACCACCTGGAAAACTACAACCTGACTGTAATTTGAAGAGTGCCCATGTGTAACATTAGATCTATCACTAATCGAATTTCCCAGAAAAGGTCATTCAAATCACAAGACAATCTCCTGCTTTTTTAGCCCTGAGGGGAGCTGACTAACGTCTGGGTGGGCATCGAATATGAACTGGAATCACATCCGCTTGGGAAACTGAAACAAGACAAACTCTCTTGTCCTGCTGTGCCATGCTTAAAGAAATCAGTCACCGGGATTCAAAACTACTGACTCCACATGATACAGAAGAAGTGGACTCGTGCACGTGGGACCCTCGGTTAATGCAGCCTACTTTAAACAAACCTGTGCAGCCTGCTTTTCAAAGAGGGTTCATTTTTTTTAACCGTTATTTGAGAAAAATGAGAGCTACCCTAGCTGCTAAGTGGAGATAGAGTAATTAATTTCAGAGTCTGTCAAGCACGGAAAAGCACTCACATTATCATCATTTAGAAGCAGCACTTTTATAGAAATGTCAAACGGCAGAGCTGGAAATGATTATAGTTCTGAACATGCCATGTCACTTTGAAGACTGAAGTGAATCACAAGTAATTATAGCGACTGAGCTCGTTGGCTTTTGATTATTGCTGAGATTAAGCAGAGCTCTTCAGCTGGTGTGCAAAGGCTTGTACTCATATTTAATTTAGAGACACAAGGTAAAAAAAAATCTAAAAAATTTCTGCATCTTGAAAAGGATACCACCCTATGCTTCCCAAAATATTTTGCACGTTCGTCTGCCCTTTCTTGATGGGGAAATAAGCAGTGCTGAAATGCTTGTTGTATTTGGCCACACTGGAAGAACACTATCCCAGGAATTTCATGCATCCCAAACCTTTTGCCCACAATTCTGCTGGGGGAGACGCACACACACACAGTCACATTCATCTGCTAATCACAAGAAGTCAGAGCAAACCGCATACCCGTGGTCCCTGGTCGCCTTGATCCCCCTGCGGAAAGAAGGAAAAAGAATTTGTCTTCAAATGAAAGGGTCAACCAAATGCCCGAACACGCACGCATAAATACAAAAGTGCGGCGCTAATGACGAGCTGAGACTCACACCCAAATTACAGCGGTATAATTCAGAACACATTGATAAAGAAAAATAATGCAGGAACCCTCAACTATCCATTGTGGTTGAGAGTAAAATCACTTATGATAACATGGACTGACATGGATTGGATATGAAAGACAGAACAGGGAGAGAGCGGTGGTGTGAGGTTTGGTGGGTGCCGTGCCAGATTTTATGCCCCAGAGATCTCTCAGATGGCTTTCTGCCCTTTTCGGGGGTAGATCCCTGCAGAGAGAGCGCGCAATCCTCAAGCAAAAAACATTTGGTTTCAAATCGATCAGCATGGTCGATTGTGGCTTTATCACATTACAGTAAAAGCCCAAACAAAAGCAAAGTTTAGACTCAGTTTTTTATTATTTTATTTTGAAATGAGTGGTGGCGGACCAAATCTCAGACAGTGAAATATAACTGTAATCTGTCTAGAATTGGGTAAGCGAACATCCTTAAACCATCTCATTTGGTGCACGTCGCTCTCCTGTTGGCTCAGTTTACAGTTTCACCACAGCGGTAAAATGAGCCGACCAATCTTTCACACATGGATGGGAATTGTGCTCAAACAAACTTTGAATGCGATGCCTGAACAAATTTCAAATAAAACATCTCTTGGAATTTTTTTGTAATTTTTCATTGGGCCCTTGTTCCAAAAAACCCAGATTTAATGGGAAAACGGTTTATTCATCTTGGGTGGGAAGAATGCACACAGTTGTTTTTCATTTCATTAAACTGCAGATGAAGTGGTTCACATGAGAAGCATGAACATGCATCTCATCAGCAGGAACATAGTTAGTCACAATTATCATAATCAGCCTCAAAAATCATAAATCTGCTGTTGTAAGCCAATCTGATGCACTCTACTTTTCCTTGTGTTAAAGACCCAGTATGAGGGGTTTCAGTGGCTCTACCAGGAAACACAGGATATGGCTTTCATTCATGCTTTTATTTTTATTACAGTTTTCATTAAAAATTCACCTACAAATAAGAATCATCAGTTTCTATCTACAAATCAAAAAGCTGTCTCCACAGTATGTGGATCTTACTTTCACACCATTTCATTGTATTTCTTCTGCTGTACACCACAGCAGTCCTTTATTGTGATATTACCCAAGTCACTGCATAAATCGTTTATTGATGAATGAACTGTTAAAGTCTTAATCTTCCTCAGGAGCACGTTAGATGTTTGCACTTTAAAGTTCCCTTTTCTATAAGTGAATTCAGGGACTTTAACTCTGGTGTAAATTCCTCAGGCCCACATTTTGTCCCCGAGTCCTGCAGACTTATAAAGAAACTGTGCGGTTATTTTGCATGCTCAGCTGCTGTTTTATGGAGGAGTGCTCAGTGAGGCATTTAAGGGGTTTCAACTGAGGGCTCAAACTTCTGGTCTTTAATGCTCTGTGCTATAGATTTGTGAACTGCAGGCTAATCTCAATACTAGGACTTAAGGTCAGGATGAAGTGGAAATGCAAAATGAAAGAAGCAGATGATGAATGGTGCAGACCAATTATCCACGTGAAGACTAAAAGCAAAGATATTGGATATTAAGGATATACATGTGAAATTTCAAGAAAATTCTTTTAATTTCTGTGCAACAGTAAATTGCAAGCTAGCATGAGTCCGTTAGCTTTGCAGTGAGCCCAGAAACCACATGTGTACAGGTCTGACTATAAACTCTGATCTATTCCTCTGTAAAATACAAGAGTTTTCCTTTGATTTCACAATCATTTTAAGCTGACTAAACATTAAGGGCCAGATTTATAAATGGGTAGCGTGTGAGCTTAGAGCTGGGTTCCCACCTGTTACACGCAATGTTGTCACGGCGCTTTCTTTGTAAATTCCAACATTACTTTTTTTTGCACTAAAACTCAGTTTGCGCTAATAAATCAGGTCCTCTTTGATCTGACTTACACAAAAGTAAGTAAATGTTAGCTTATGTTAAAAAAAACATAAGCATTGAATGTACCATTAAGATTCTGACAATGATGTCTGTCAGTGAAATTTGAGGCTTTATGTGTTGTGTTATGTAATCCTAAATGATCTGTTTCTTAGCACTGACAGGGACCCACCCTACAGTAACAGTTAGCGTAGACATGCACCATAATTGGAGCTACAAATGCATAAAAAATGTTTGTCTTTGTGTGTGGATTCCCAAAGAGAGGGGAGTGGAAGGACTTCTTTCAGGACACACAGCACAAAACTGGTTTCAAAGAGGGAGATATCTTATCAATTCACATAAAGAAGCTGCAGAACTGTATTTAGAAAGAAATCCTGCTGCTACTTCCAACATAAGATGAAGCAATTTGATATGAAAGTTTGCATTTCTTTAACCTCCAATAATAAATATGAACCAAACCACTGAAGATGAAGCTATTCTTGATTGCTTTAATTATTTATTGTGTATAGATCTTTTGCCTCAGTCGCCATACATGCATTGGGAGTTGTTCTCCAACTGCACAGTATGGCTGCTGCATTGATGCATTTTTCCAATGAACAGCACCAACCAGTGCAGTATATGTAGGCTTTCATGCTGCACACAAGGGGAGCATCTTGCATAGCTAACTAGGTGAATTTCATTGCCTTTAGACTTAAGAAAAAAGCTGTGGGATGTCAGTATTTCTTCATATTAACTGTGCAACAAAAACACCAAAGTATACAGTTACCCACCTTTTCACCCTTTGGACCAGGAGGGCCCTATGAAGAGACAGAGAGAGAAAAAACAGATTGTTCAAACTATTACAGTATAAAAAAACAAAGAAACTATGTTCCAAGTCACTTGTAATTGTGAAGACAATCATGATGTTGTCTGGAAATATAACAAAACTATTTAAAACCGGGGTGACCAATCACGTTAAAAAACAAACAGAGCCGCTAAGCGAGGCTCGAACGTCAAGAAGTGAGACACAACTGAAAGATTAATAAACTGACTTTGTGTACTTTCTGACATCTTTCACGATTTGATTAAAATCCGCTGTCACAAACTGGGAAACAGTGCACTGTAGGCAGCAGGGCTTATGCAAACATACAATTAAAACCTAAAACAGGCCCAAATCAAGTCCATGTTTACTTAGAGGATCAAATCCAGCAATCTCCAACCAAGTATTGGCAGGCACGTTGTAAAAAAATGTGCCCTGAAAAAGAGGACTACGTCTTTTTTTTTGGTGAGGTAGCTTCCAGCATCCGTCAGTCGGCAGGCAGCACCTCCTGGGTGGGCTCTGTAAAAGATCGTGGAGTTAAGGAGAGGATCTGACAATGAGGTGTGCATCCACATGCTGAGCTTAACAAGTACGTGTTAAAAACTGCTTCTTCTTTTTAAATTCAAGTTGAATGCTGAAGTATGTTGGGTTTTTTCTTGGGAGGTCAGGCATTTGATCATCAAGTATTAGATCATCAACTAACTGACCACCCGCTTAGCAACAATGTTCCTGAGCTCCTGGAGAAACTGCTGTGCCAGTATTAATCTGCATTTCACTTACAAAAGAAATCCTATTTGCTTTCACTGGCCATAAATAAAATGTGAATATGAGAACAGATCAGAATCTTTAAAAACCACAAAATGATATGCAGGTAAAAGGAACAACTTGTTCACGAGTAGTTTTAGCATTAAGCACAAAAATCTGTAGTGGTTAGCATTCCAGGCTAATCCTGCTCTAACGCTGTTTGTTTCCAAATACAAAAATATGCTGACACTAATCCATAGATTGATGATATTAGTATAAAACCTGTGTTTGGATGCTGTTCCTTTCAGTCTATGGACCAGTGACCCAGAATAGCAGGCTTGGGCTTCCACTGCGCTGGCACACATTAGCAGAGTCTAAAACTGAAATGCTCCAGAGGTAATTCAGCAGTTTTCCTCAGCCAATTTCTGCCACACTGCTGAGAGGTAAGAGAGCCGTAGCCAGGTTTCTCCCTGCTCGCTGCCTTTGGATATTATTTTTGATGCTTATTTAACTGTCTGTAACTTTTTAGTTATGTATAGTAGTTCGTGCAGTCCCAACTGGATCTGCACAGGGGCTAATTTGCCTTGGTTTTGGGGGTTGTGAACCTGCACATCAAGCTTGTGCGGTGCATCATCCCATTTATTTAAATACGAGGCTTCCTCAAGCCTCAGCGCAGGCCGTAATCCAGACACAAACATCTGAGGACGTGCTCCTGCTGTTCCTTGACCAGCCGTGCAAAGAGGCACAACACACTTGTAAATACAAAATGGGAATATTAGGAAAACAATGTTTCCGACTGCAGTTCCCTGGGGAGGAATAAAGAGGCAGAATATTGGAATCAAATGTGACTTTTACATTTATAATGATGCTGAGGCATTCCAGAGGGGCCAAATAAGTTTCCAATGTTTTCCTCAAAAAGGAAGGCCGCTAAAGGAAATTGGTGAAACTTTGTTTTTTCTTTTTTCTTTTCTTTTTTTGTTTGAGGAAATTGCCTTTGGATAATGGGAGGCTATTGACATTACTACAAACACAAATGGCTGGAAGAAAAAGAAATATAAATACAAGCACTGCATCGTTTCACAAAAGCCTGTTTAACGTATGATGCTTGGCACTAACACATGCAGTTGGCGCAGATAATTACCAGGCTGATTTGCTGTGCGCCACATTATGTGTAAATGAAGGGAAATTGCAGCATTATATGATGTAGCAACACAATAAATCCAGAATGTGGAGCAACATAATGAAACTTCATCAAGCCCATGTTGAGCTCTGATAACTGGGAATAAATAAGGATAATGTAGCTGGAGGTGTTGGTTGGGCCAGTTGGTGTCATCCTGGGGTTTAAATAGATATTCTTTATTGTTACATCATTACTGAAGTTATAACATTATGAAGGTGCATTTTTTAACCAAAAACCAGATCATTCCCCACATCTTATCAAAGGTATTTTAAATTAATTTGAGTTCAATTTCATTGGTGTAGCGCCAAATCACCACAGTTATTTCAGGCACTTCATTCTGTAAGGAAAAGACCGCAATAATCAGAAGACCCCCTATAAACAAGCACTTGGTGAGAGTGGGAAGGAAAAACGTCCTTTTAACAGGAACCAACCCCCCTGCAGAACGAGGCTTAGGGCGAGGCAGCTATCTGTGGCACGTGGTTTGATTAAGTGAGAGTAAAAATAGCAATTCAAAAATAAACCAAGTAAAAACAAGTCAACAACATAAGAAGCCCAATGGGATGCAAACCCCGGTCTCGTTGCTGATAAACCTGCAACTTTTCCAACCTAATTATGTAGGCTTCTAAAACAGGCTAGCTATCTCTTGGGAGCTAGCATCCAAACACCAAAAGACACCTTGTAAGTAAGGGCAGATCAAGCATCTGATGAGATATTATAACTGAGTTTAAATGCCTGTAAGTGTCTTTTTTGATAATCAGCACTCCTAAACATATCAGTCAAATTTTAAAACTTGGCAACTGCACTTTTTATGGTAGACTTTTTCTCTTTTTTTTTGCTGAAGTGGAACGGTACTTTGGCACACCTATATCTCACCAAACAGTAATTCCACTCTTCCATCTGGACATGAAACATGTGGAAATGATTTGGCTGCACAGTGTGCACCTGCTCATTATACGCTTCATCATTTGCACATCACTTGGAGAGACAACACGTGCTGGAGCTTTTCCAGAAGGTTTAAGCAAGTGCAGCAAGGGTCTTTTATAGAGACTATTAAAACAGCTCTCTTGCAAAGACTTTTTCCAAACTGTACTACAGTGGAACTGCAGTGTGTGTCTTTGTCAAACCGTCTCTGCAGCTTTGTGGTTTCAGTCTGCCCTGAGGAAGCTTTCTAATCAGCACCTGTGTCTGCTTTTCACATCTATTTTACTGCTTCTGCTCTGGCTCTGTTTCATAAGCAGGTGCTCCTTGGGTCATGGCTGTTCATTAGCAAGTTCCCCTGCTGAACACGATTAACCCTCTACAGTGCTTTCCACACCTACTAGATTGCACTTAATTCTTAAATGACTGCATGCATAGCTTAAAATAACAAACTAATTAGGTTTGGCAGAGGAGCAGTTCACTGAAATACACTTCACGTTGTTTGCGTTTTCTTCACTTTGATTTTGTATAGATCAAAAATGTAAGATGCATGCTGAATTAAAAGCTTTTTTTCAGTAAAGCCCTACCAGTGTTTGATGTTTGCTAATTACGATCTGTGTGTGGATTCTCTCCATCTTCCTTCCACAGTCCAAGGTTAAGTGTGTTAGGTTAATTGGTGATAGCAAATCGGCCACAGGTATGAATGGTTGTCTCTGGCCGATTTACGTGTAACACGTTACAAGGTAACAGTTTACTGTCATCACATTATATTTTTCAGTGACACAGTGATGTAATGCTTTGTTGTATTAAATTCAGTAATTACATTACGGTTACAATTATGATGTTCCTTGTGTTACAACGGTTCTTCAATTAGCGACATGCCATGTGGATTAAAAGAAAATAACGTCGAACAAACACGTTTTTTTTCTGCTACAGTCAGCTAATTTGAGTTCGCGTGCAGTAGGAGGAAAATGTTGGGGTGGTCTACAAAGGAAATATGGACATTAACTCCATTTTTGTTGCACAAAAGGATAATAGCACAATGGTAATGTGTAAACTGCATCCAGGACAAAAGTAACTGCACTGGGTTCGCTGTAAGCATATGCACAGATAGCACGCTAATGCTAAGCTAGCCAAAAACCCAGAGCAACATTAGCTGAGTGGATGCTAACCCCAGACCAGCAGCCAGAGCCTTAACTTCAACAGGTAACAAAAGTAGCGATGATTTGTCAGACTTGTAGCCTCCTTTTCTACCTGTTCAAGTTTTTGAAGTAGAATCACCGTGGAGATCGCTCTGAAAGCTCTTTGGGATGACTTCCAGCTTCGTGTTCATACGTAAATACCAAAAGAAAGATAGTACGTGTGTCCTCATTATGATGAGGTGTGTGGGGCATTTTTCGGAGTGTCAAGAGAGTAATGTAACCAGTACAGTAACAAATCACTTTCTCCTGTGAATAATAAAGTAATGTGCTGTATTATTAATTAGTATTGTGTAGTATTAATATAATACAATTGCTTTCCTTGAGTAACAACCCAAACACTGGTGTAAAGCCTGACCTTTGGCCGTCGGGATAGGCTCCAGCTGCCCTGCGACACTGAACTGGATAAGAGGAAGAAAATGGATTTTTGGATGAAAATCTTAAAAGAGCTTCATTTCATGAGCAGTAATAACCTCCTGCTCAGTTTAATGCAGTTTTTCTTTGGTTAAGCTTTACAACAGTGAGAGAGATACAGATGCTTTGGAAACGTCACTATAAACCAGCCTGAATGCATCATTTTATATCCTGAAGCCAAATAACCCTGGAGAAATAATGCAATATCCAGCAGAAAACACTGAATTGTACATTACTCAAACACAGTATCTCACAAAGAGTTTTAGAGGAGGTTTCATTATTGCTCATAAAATCAAGCTTTAACCCTTGTGTGATGTTCATATTTTTGTTACTCAGCCAGTGTTCATGGGTCTGGTGGACCCGCTAGAGTCTTGGCTTTCCAAATTAACACTATCAAACAATTTTATGTTAAATTACTAAACAGATGTTTACTTCATCCCAATTACAAGACATGTGAACAGCAAACATGGTTAATTTTTTCCCTTTACCTTTGTTAGATCACATTTATGAATTAATGTGCTTCTCGTTTTTTTTTAATTTTTT